ATATTCAGTAGTATTTTTAAAAAATTTAACTAAAAAAAGATCATATAAGGTATGAAATAGGATAAAATTAGATATATATATATATAACCTATTAGTTATTATTTATTAGATGAATTTGTATAATATATATAATACCACTAATTATATTGGTTTTCTTAGATAAATAGCTAGAAAAATAAATACTACATAAAATTTTTAAAATAAACAAAAAAAAATAATAATAATTTCAAAATATGGTTCTTATATTGTATCAAAAACACTATCATATAACTTCAATCCAAAACAGATTTACAATGTAGAAAGAACCAACTTATATTTATAGATATTATTTAAGTTAAAAAACTAATAAACTAGAGAATTCTAAGTTAAATAACATTTTTTAAATAATTATTAATCTTCTGTTATTTCTTGTAAATTTTATTTTTGAATATATATATATATATATATATATATATATATATATATAAAAGAATAGTTTTATTATCAAGCTTGATATTTTGCAATATAAGAGGGATGTAAAAACCAGATATTTTTTTATTCCATAAAAAAAATTATAAATTATTATTATAGATCAATTATTGATCTTAAATTTTATGTTAATGTAAAGATATTTTTTAAAAAAAATAAAAATTATTCTAAATAATCAAAAAATAAATATTATATCAAAATAGTATTAGAGAAATATTAAATTTTAAATAAATATATTTTGAGATTTTAAAAAAATAAAATATTAAATTTTGTGTCATAAAATTAATTTTGTCATATGTATTATATTTAATTATTTTATATGATATGTTACAATATAATATTTTTATCTTAAATTAGATAAACTTGATACCAAATGCTTAAGATTTATTAAATCTTAAGTTAAAATATAAATTAAAGATCACATGGAGATTTATTTCTAACATGAAATTTCAAATGTGATCAATCTTTAAAGAAGAATATTTTCTAAAAATTATTTTATTCTATCTAAATAACATTTAGAATCAATTTTTTATTACCTTAGTGCTAATCTTTAAAACAATAAAGATGATTTTGCTACTAAAATATTTTTTCTTAATAAAATAATGTTGATCATTTTTTGGCAATAACATTAATATGTTTTTAAGTAGGAAATATTCTTGTTATATAAGATTTTCTATAGTTAAAGCTTATAGCAAAATAATCTACTTTGTAGATTTTAAATATAAAATTAATTGTTTTATTTGTTGTTTGTTTTTCATTATTTTATTTGGCACACGTTAAATGTTCACAATCCAAAAATTTATTTTAAATATTTATGTAGTCCTAATATATACTTAATCTTACATTTGATATTTGATATAATTTCCAAAAATACACAAAATTAATCATGTATAAGTTTTTATAAAATAATATTATATTTAAAGGATTATACAAATTATTCTTATTGATTATATGTTGATATTATATTTAATAAGAATATTATTATGAATAAATATAAATAGAAAGAATTAATATAGAATAATGACAGTCTACTAAAATTCTTAGCCAAACTTAGTAACAATATGTGCAATAATTCATCTTCCTCTATCCAACAAAGAATTTGTAATTTTTGTAAGCAATAAAAGTATGAAAAGTATAATTATTAAATATAAATATTTTTATTTTTTATTTCCAAATATTTAAAATTGACAATTTTAATGTGTAACAAAGTTAAATACAATCTAATCTTTTAATCTAAAAATGAATATTTTGTAAAAGACAATAGAAGGATGATTTAGTATATATAATTCAATGTTATTTTGTAGCAACTTGTAAATGTTTAGTTTAATTTTTAATATATTATAATAATATCTAATTAACTTTTGGATAAACCAACCTCTATCTTCAATTAAATTATTATCTTTATGAATTTTATAATTCAATATAAATGCTTCTTTCTTTAATTTTGTTCTTCCTCTTAAAAAATTGTTTTATCTTAATCAAAACCTCATCTATTTAGTAAATTATTTATATAACTTTAAAACACTTAGGATTCAAACTTCAACTCAATGAATATAAACAATAAGAATTTATTGTGAACTCAAAGGTAAAATTTGTTTGTATTAAATTATGTATTACAAATTTCATTCAATCTATAATTTTAAAAAGATGTAGTTTCTATCTTTGCTCTTCATTAATCTACGTAATCTCAGCAAAAGCATATGAAACCTATTAGTAATCTCGTAGAAAAAGTATAGAATTTTTTTATTGAAGCCTGTAGCACAGAGACAAAAATATACAACTTCTTTACAAAAACTCTCTTAGATTATGGCACCTTAGGAGCTTCCTTTTACATATTTTCTGATGCATCTATCTACTAAGTTTCTCACTCCTTCTTCTATCAATTTTACATATTTTTTGATGTTCTCTTAATGTTTAGGTCTTTTTTTAAGATCTAATTAGTTATTGATATGTACTTTATATAGACTCCAAATCTAACTTAATTAATTAAGTTGAATCATTCGATTGACACAACTTGACCGAGTATAAACTTTTGAGACTTATTTTATAGAAATGAATCTTCTTATTAACAATTGTACTTGTCTTAGAGCTAAATTTTATTTAAAAAATCAAAAAAATAGTTTTTTTTTTTTTTTTTTTTTTTTTTTTTTTACTATTAGAATCTATTTTAGATTTCTTTTGATTACTTTTCAAAGACTGATGTCTTTTTTTTCAACTTCTATTGTAATATATTTTTCAGATGAGTTACTATGAAAAAAAGGTTTTCTATAATGACCATAACTCTACCACACAGTCAAATATATGCTCTGTTTAGATTCATCACTAAAAATATGTAGAAAAATTGTTTTTCTATTTGTAATTATTTTGTTTTTGTTTCCCTGTTTGAAAATAATCTCAAATTTGTTCCTCTATTTGTAAATTCTTCTTAAATAATATAGTTATATAAATGTGTATATGTATAAATATATATACATACATAGTACCATAATATGTAAAAAATTAGTATAAAAAATAATCAAAATATACAAACTTATGATTTATTTAATACAAAAATAACTTGTACCAGATTTTATCAAAATTATTTTACAAAATTATTTTATATAATTGATAATTTTAATAAATTATATCATTGAAATAATCTCAATTTAAAAATAACCAAATAAGAATAAATTCAAGTATAAAAATTAGTATCTGTATTTTATTTTAAATTTTACTAAATACACAACACTAATTTTAATTCTTATATCTTAAAAGATGTTTTGTAAGTTTGTTTATAATTATTAACCTTCAAATTTAAACATCTTCTTCAATTTTATATATAATTATGTTTTATAAATTATATATATATATATATATATATCAATAAGTATTCAATTTAAATATATATATATATTAATAATATTAATACTTAATAATTAATAAGTTTAAATGATGTAATGCATTAGTAATTATTTTCATTATTATAAGTTGGTAATTCAATAATCTTCATAAGAATAAATTTACAATGAAATACTAAGAATTAATTTTAAATTATTATAAAATAAAATAAAAAAAAACAAATAAATTTATTAAATACATTATGAATGTAGAAAATATCTCTTTCAAAATAATAGCTGTAATTGTCGAAATACTCTCTTTATGCCTATCTTTAAAAAGATTTTGACTAGTTAAGAATTATAATGTTAACTAAAATAATGTATCAGAGTACAAGAAAGGACCTTAAGGTGGACAAGAGTGAATTAAAATCAAGGATTGGAGATACAATTGATGCTTCTAAATAAATACAAGAAAAGAATGGTTCAAAAGATACTCTTCCTAATACATGGCAAATTGGAGATCCTAAAAAAAATCCCAAATCCCAAAATATTTGGTGAATAGACATGTGGTTAGAGAGGACAAGGCTTGTAAGATACAAAAAACCACTTCATCGCACCATCGTTTCAAGGCAAGTTTGATTTTTTCTAACCACCTGAATATGACCCAAATTGCTCTCTTTGACTTCTCTTAAGATCAACCCACTTGTGTTTCATTCCCATAATATCTGACTCACTATAATGCACAAGTCAGAATTATTCTTTAGAATCTCAATTGTGTGCGGAAGGTCCATTTTGACTTGTAACCGACTGAGAGAAGCAATACTGCGGAGCAATTATTCCCTGCAAAAAAGTATCAGGATTCAAAATCAGAAACCATCATAAAAATTCCAATTCCTCGGAGTAATGCCTTGAATTCAACCTTGTCTTACTTGCCGTTTTTTCTTTCTTCAAAAGAACCACAGCCAACTTAACGATACTATCGCCGAAAGTGCGAGAAGCCCAGCCAGAAGCTCGCACTCTCATGAGGCGCAAATTTCAAGTGGGCTCCAGGAAATCTGCGAGACTGTTGACAAAAAACTTTACCAGCTGTTCAGTAGCCTGATCAATGAGCTGTTCCACTAGCCTGCTTCCTGCACAAGTGGATAGCAGATATCTAGTTGGGTTCTGCAGAAATTTGTAACTCCTCTGAAACGGGAATGGTCGCTGATTTTGGTCATCACGGTCATCGCAGTTACTCGCTTGCATGGCGCGGTGTTATTCAGGAGATCATCGACGCCGCATCCTGGGTCTAAGTCCATCCTGTTCAACACGCGGTACCCTGCAGAACTCTGCATTGCATATGTGTCAAAGCCAGATTTTCTCCGGCGTAGACATAAGTTTCAATGCTAGATTGGAATCTCTAGAAAATCCGGTTGCTTTTCAGAAAGCTGTGACAACCTCGGATTCTACTGGTCACCTTTGACCAACATGATATGATGTCGCGCTCCGTGATTGTTCTTGACAGCAGGAGCACGTGATTGTTCTTAGTAACAGTTATCTTTTTCGTCGAATACCTGGTGGGTCACCACGAGGAATGGTGGGTAACTGGTTTCCTTCCCTGTTTGTAGTGTCCCACGTGAGGAGCAACCCTCGAGGAGCTTTACGTGTTGAATCTCTACGGAGACAATACTGATATCTTTGACTGTTGACTGTGACGCCATTGTATAAGAGGTTGCATTCCAAACATATGCCTTATTTATTCCATGCAGTGGTTATTTGAGACCATGCAGTGGTTATTTGAGACCATGCAACAGACATATGCCCCATTCATTCCAGACGGTGATTATTCAAGGCCATGCAACAAAGAGTGTCTCCGCTTAGTCGACTGCACATTCGAATCCCACCTGCACTTATTCCTCTACGAAAGTCGAGAAGCTATCGCATATTTACTGCAGTGCGTTGAAGACGAAGCTATTTGAGTCGCAATCCATAGCAATTCGTGATTCGAAAGAGACCCTGCTGCAGAGCATCTGACTTGAGGGAACTGTTTTTCCGAAAGGCCTCTTTCAAAGCATTCTAACGTTTCCACTTCCATAGAATACGGCAGCTCGGAAGTATTGAGGTCGGAAGGATGCAGCAATAACACGGCATCTCCGAGAACTGAAGATTGCGCTTACAAAACCAGCTCACTTTCAAGCAACTTGGTTCTTGCCTGCGAGGATATTTACAATGGCGAAATCTTCTTGTCTACTGGTTCATTGTCTGTGCCTTAATTTACTTCTGTCAATTGGTGCAACTTCAGAGCTGCCAGTATCAGCACAATTTGACCACCCCCAGCAGTCCACATTTTTGCCAGCATCTACAGAGGTGCAGGACACACCTCATGGCTGGCTCACGGGTCTTCTCACCAAATCATTCGTTGGAGATCAAGTGGTAAGCTTCAAATTAAGTCCGATTGAGTTTGTTGTAACTCTCTTCAAATATGCATTTACTATGCAATAAACGTGTATCTGACTTGACTCATGTGCTGTGATGAAATCGTTTGGCAGAATTGGAGGCCTTTCTTACCCCATCAAGTCCTCAACATTTATCAAAGAGTTGTGGGCGAGCATCGTCCTATGTCAAATCTGCAAGTAAGAACTCATATCATCCCCGACTGCGAGATGGACAGCAAAACTGTACACGAAGGTCACGAAGGCCATTATTTGCGAGGCATACCTTCACGGACCACGAATGTTCCTGCTATGAAAACCTTTCCTTGTACCTTATTGAGAAACCCTTTATCAAGTACAATTGCCCAGCAATCTCAACTTGATACCAAACCCACTCCAAGTGGATCTGTACCTGCTCCAACTGTTCCTCATTTACAGCAACTAGCATGCAGCGTTGACATAGGACACGAAACGCCGACAGCATTACCTCCTCCCAACCCAACGCCTCGTCTACAGAAACCACCGAGCATCATCATCGAAGCAGGACGCCCAACACCAGATCCACCTAAACCTCCAACTCCAAATGTTCCTCATCTACAGCGATCAGCAAGCACCATCATCGAAGCAAAGCCAGTTCCACGCCCAACGCCAGGTGGAAAACCTGGTGTCCCACCAACTCCTAAACTGCAACATCCTCCGGAGGATATGGCTTTGCAGTTCCTGTGAGGGTCAAATTCCCATTGTACCATTCATTCATTTATTTTTGCATAGAGAAGTGTTGTTTTATTGTAGATTAAAATATATAGTCTACCATGGCATTGTGGAGGGAGTTGCAAGGCGAACAGCGACACCACCCATTCTGTTCCATTTTGCTTAGAGAGATGGTTTACTCAAGGAAGCCCAATGTTCGCTGCTTAGCAACCATAATGATCGCCACTGGTCATTTTCTTTCTCCTGAGTCTCACAACCTTGTCCTTTTCAAAACTGTGTATGTTTGTTTTTGGATTTTTGGCACAATACTTGTATGCTTTTCTGTGAATTCAAAACATTGAAAGAAACAAAAATCATCAGTTTTTAATTTTGTTTTGAGAATGCCCAAAACACCAAAGAAAATGTTCAAGTAATGGTTGGAGTTTAAATAACAATGAAATCAAGAGTACAATGACCGATTGTAGTGTCAAATGCTTAGATAGAAACACATTTTCCAACAAGATTGTGAAAGACATGGATGAAGAGGTCATCTACATCAAATAATGTATAGATCGCTATAGAACTTTGTGATTTATGACAAACTAAGTCACATCAAAGATGATAGGTATTTGAGAAAATCTAAAGAATATTCAATACTGTTTTACAAAAGAAATGTACAATTACAAACTCCTTTAATATTTGAGCACATCCTGATTTTATAAAAAAAAATTGTGTCAATTTTTTTATTGTTATTATTGTGTTGTTTTATAACTTACCAAGCTCAATCTACAACTTATTTCAAAACAAACTAATCTCTTTAAGGAATATATTGATTATATGCTTATAAAGAATTTAATTTGACATTAAAATATTTTTCTAAGCACATTAATCTTTTTTTGCAAAGAAAGAAGAAAAATAAATGTAGAAATTATTTTTGAATGAAGAAATTAACCATGAAAAAAAAACCCTTAACTTTAATATTAAAATAACTTACTTAATAAATTAAATCTAAAATTTATACTAATATAGATATATTAAAATAGTAAAATAAATTTATATTATAAAAAAATAAAATACTACATTTTATGTAAGGTGTAACCATTATAAATACAAAGTTATGTATTAGAAAATCTAATAGGATATAATAGATTCTTGTATCTTTTAAGAATCTATTAGTACTTCCTAAAATAACACCACTTTAATATTAAAGATAAAAACTGTCTATTTTTTTAAAAAAATTAATATATTTCAAAATTAAAAATCTATTGATGATTTTTTTTGAAATATTTTTTACAAATATTTATTAATTTAAAGATTTAACTTATATTAAAAAATTAGTTTTAAAAGTAAAATAATTTTTTTATTTAATTCTTTTAAACTTGGTTTTATTCTAAGTTTCCTTGGTTTTATTCTAAATTCTTAAAGCATTTTATGTAAAGAAAAATATATTAAATTCAGTAAATGAAATACTAAAAATCAAATTCAGATATAATATCTATTTCTTTTATTAAATAAATTTTTCAATAAAAATAACATATCATAAGATCTAAGGAAAATAAATCTTTGCTTATGTAGATTTACACTAAAAATATTGTCATTATCTAAAAGATACTTCTAATATAATTAGATTTTGTATTGCTCACAAGATTCTTAATTACTTTTTATTAGCACATCTCCTAAATTACTATTAATTCTATAAAATTTATATATTATATAAGTTTTTTATTTAATTTTTTATATTGTTTCCATAATATACTAGAATTATTAGATATCTTTTGTATACATTATGATCCTAAATCAAAAGAAAGAAAAACAACTTATGAAGAATACTAAATTTTTCTTTTAAAACTAAAGTAACTTCATTATTGAACTATAATATAAATAATAATTATTAGTATTTCATATTATTCAAATAATTCAATAAAATCTAATTTTTTTAAACTTCAAACTTAGTTTTATGATAATTTTATTAGATTTTTGTTGTTTTACAGGACATTAATGCATTCTAAAATATTAACCATGATTATATGTTCTTTGAATATAATATAAATTTTTAGCTACAAGGAATTACTTATGAACATAAAAACTATATATATATATATATAAATAGTTCAAGAGATTTTTTTTAGTCTTAAAAATAAAATAAAAGATCTAAATACTAGTATAATCTTTTGATATGTAATTTCAAGCAAGGTTTAACTTAAATTTTTTTTCCTTTTTCTATAAAACCCTAAGAGCCAATTTTTATTTATAGTTTGAATTAAAAATAAATCATTAAAAAATTTAATAGCTTTTAATACCAAATAATAATCTCATGACATAAATTATTATCACAAACGTTATCTTTTTTAAAAAATTAAAATAACTATAAATTAATTCAATTTTTACTATATATATATATATATATATATATATATATATATATAATTTTTTATTTGAGTATTTACAATATGATGTTTTGAATTACTTTATTTTATAAAATTAAGTTTTAATTTTATTAAATTAGTATTTTTACCTCAACATTGTGTAATATCTTTTAAATTTCTAATTTTTTTAGATAATAATGTTAAAATTTATAAGATATTCTACTTTTTATTTAATTTATTTTATATTTCTATATAAAAAAAATTCTTTGCTTCAAAGTATTGCATTTTTTAGGTTATATTATTTTTTTAATTAAAATAATCTTATATTTATAAATAAATTAATATTTTTTTAATTTTATATAAGTTTATTTATTTATAAATAATATATAGTCCTATTTCAAGTAATCATGGCCTTTTTAAGTGATAATATATTATTAAGGCTTAAGCTACAGTCACATCTTAAATTGCTACATATACATATCATATTACTATATGCACATCTAAAAAATTAGAGATTTTTAATTGGCTTGATGTTGTTATATAGATCCTACTACCTAATACAATTATAGTGTTGTGTTACATATATTCTTGCTTGAGAATGCACTAGACACCTAGTTTTAGAGGATAAGTAAAAATACAACAACAATCCTAACAAGTCTAATAGAGTCTTAAATAAAATTTAAGTAATCTTTAATAATCCTAATAAAACTTTAATCAATCTAAAGTAAATTTAAAAGAAGTTGTAAAAGAAACACAAAGAAGTCATAAATTAATTTCAAAGAAAAATAATGAATAAATTCTAAAGAAATATTAAAAATAAAATGTTAAAAAATAATAGTATTTTTTTTTAAAATACTATAAATAAAAAATAAATCCTAAATAAATCCTAATAAAATCCTAATTTAAATCTAATTCAAATAACATAAATTTTAACCAAATTTTATTTCAAATCTTAATTAAATCCTACTTGAAATCCTAATTGAAATCTTAATTGAACCTTAATCAAGTTTTAGGTCAAACCTTGATGAAACCTTAATAAAATCCTAAATCCTAACCAAATTCTAGACCAATCCTAATCAAATTCTAAAACAATCCTAAATAAAATTTAAACAATTACTATAGATGTTTAAAACCTCAATAAATATTAATTGAACTATTGATCTTGACTAAAATTTCATCCAAATTTTAATCAACAAGCAATTATTAAGCACAAAAAATTGAAAAAGAATTAAAGTTATCAATTGGAAGAAAAGCTCTCAAAATCTCTTGGTTATTGACTGCCTTCTTTCTTTAACTTGAATGTTGATCTTTCAACATAGATTTCTCTTTGCTAAATTATTCAATTGCTTCAAAAATTGAGATGTGGAAAGTTATTTAAGTCTAAATTTCTCTCATAAATTTTTACTTAATTGAATTGGCAAATATTGCAAGAAAGTAAAATCCCTTATTAATCCTAAATTTCAATTATCTAAGAGTATAATCCTCAAAAGCTCTCATATTCTTCAATTTATTTGCTTGATTAATCTCAAATTTTTTCACACACATTTACAACAAATTCAATGAAAAATTTCCAAATTTTTACCTCTAAACATACTACAAATTTTAAAAAATCCTCAAATTTATAAACATATTTTTAATTGTCAAAATCTAAACCCACCAAGTACATTACTAACTTTGAAAATCCCTCCAAGACTCAATATTAATCCAAATAACATAAAACCAACTCTTAAAACTCTCTTCATAAGTTTGCCTTCTAACCTTTCTCTCTTATTGATGAAGAACCCTGGAATTACCATAGGTATGTGGAATTGTGCCTCATGGTCTGATTTTGACTCAAACTTACAACCCGTTCTCCTTGAGTATCAATTTTTGGTAATTAGAGATAATTTTTATCTAAAACTATTATTATCTTTTTTTAAAGATACCTATATTATTTATTTATCTTGCTTACTTTGATTTGGAGTATTTATGTTCCTTCAAAATAAATAGAAGTTCCTTCTATAAAAAACAATATTAAGACTAAAAATTTTAATGCCTTCCTATCATTTATTCTTATTTTTCTATTATATCTTTTTATTAGGTTCTTCTACAATAACATCTATATTTTTATTTTTTATCATATACTTAAATTATCATACAACAATAAGAAGGAGAGAGAGGATTTTAAGAGAGGTAGCAACTCCTCCTCCAATAGCCCTTCTAATGTATCTATAGAGGCCTTCGAGGGCTTTGTTTCCCCCCAAAAAAATTTAAATCTGCACTTTGTCTAAGCAATTTACTATTGTTTTTAAAAGATCATTATATTGCATTATAGATAAGAAACAAATCATTCAATTTTTTATCTTCTTTCAACATAAGAAAAATTAAAATAAATAAATAAATAAATAAATAGATGCTAGTAGTAAAAAGGTGTATCTTGCCAAAAGTAACAATCCATATTGTCCTCACAAAGAATCATTCTTAATAAAATCAGAAGCTCAAAAGAAAACTTTGCAATAACATAGCTCATAGCAACCACAGCAATAGACTTGTCTCTTCTTCTTTAATAAGGAGATATATGAGGTACATCTCAAGTCTATTGTGAAGAGACAAAAAGACCAATTTTTCTTTAACTTGATATTATAATTTATATTATAATTACACCAACAAATCTTTAAAAATACAAGGCAAATATTGACAAATCATATAATGCTCTTTACAAGATGATCCTTATATACCTTTCTTTGAAACAATGGTACAAAATAAAATCCTAGCTAAATAATATAACTTAGGATTTGAAGAAATCTGAATCATATATTATCTTTTTTCAGCTATGAATGCAATTAAAACAAGATATTTCATAATATCATATTATAATACAAATAGATTGCAACAAACCTTCAATACAATTATGTTCCAATAAAACCAACAAGCCATTTATTATTATTGCTAAGCAATAATTTTTTCTTTTTTCATCTCAATATCTTCAAACCAACTACAATCAATTTTTATAAAATGACATCTATCTTAGTAAAAAATAACATCACAACATACCTAGTAGTACTAATGCTTCATACTATGTTATCTTATGTTCTTTTTTTCAATTCTTATTACTTTTTATTGCATTAATGTTGAAAAAATAACAAAAAAATAATAATTTAAACTTTATCATTTTGTTAATTGTCCAAATTAAAAGAACTTGTAATTTATTTATCAATGTCCAACATTACTCTATGTACTATAAGATATAGTCAACACTTTTTATTAAAAGTCCTAACATCCAATAGATTTCTTCTTATGTCATTTCTCTATGACAAATGTTCTTTAGTCTACACCATCCAAGATTCATCAATATGCTGTTGTTGTTTCTTTGACAAAGTTTAGAATTCTAAAATCACATATATTTGTTGATGTAATGAAAGACTATTAATGATTGTTGAAACATCTTCTAATATATCAAGCAAAGAAATGAAGGTATTTTTAATAAGAAGGGAGATTGTTGGTTGTTTTGACAAGTACCAACAGCAATCAAAGATTTGAGGTTTAAGCATTGCTCCTCACATAGCATAGTTTGAATTTTATGTGAGCATAATAAACCAAGCATTGTGTTGAAGGTGTCTTTGCAGGATTCAATATTTCTAGTAATATATAAACATGCAAATTTAACATGTTTGTAGACCTTTCTTAATGCATAATTAGAAATCAGTCCGTTGACATCTTAAAAGTTCTCACGGCAAAGAATTGGATTGTCAAATATCAAGATGCATATTTTTTTATGAAAGAGTTATGCAACATGTTTTTTATACATGATCTTGATGCAAAGCTCAATGCATTGACATATGCCAAACAAATCAAACTTACTTCATCTAAGATATTGCTTGAGTATGTGATGCATGTTTTCTACTACAAAGGTCACAATATCCCCAAAGTGGCAAAAACATTTTTTCCTTGTAGCAATAAATATATCCTTGTATGCATCAATCCATATATTCTTGATATATATTATTGCCTTAGAGAAATTTCCATTGCAAGTCTCTACAAAGGTCCTTTGTTGCACTTCAAACTCTTTTTTGAAATGAGCAAACACCACTAAGCATTGTCATATTACATGAAGTTTGCTTGAGAATATACTAGATATTTAGTTGTAAAAGAAAAAATGGAACTTGCAACAAGATGATTCTAACAACTCTGATAGAATCTTAAATAAACTTTAATTAATTATAAAAATACTAATAAATTTTTAAATAAAATTAAAAGAAGTCTTAAGAATTCATAATAGAAATATAAAGAAATCATAAATTAATCTTAATGAAATATATATAATAAATAAATATTAAATAATTATTAAAAATAAAAATCCTAATTGAATTTTGATCAAATTCTAATGTAACCCTAAGAAAATCTTAATAAAATCTTAAACCAATCTCAATCAAATCTTAATGAAATTCTAAATCTTAAATAAATCTTAATCAAATTCTAAAAAAAATCTTAAATAATTTCTAGATAAATCCTGATCAAATCCTAAAAAATCCTAAATCCTAATTTTAAGCCAAATCTTAATGAAATCCTAAAAAAATCCTAATCAAATCCTAACACTAGATAAAATCCTAAACAATTCCAAGAAAATCTCAAATAAATTTCAATTAATTATTGTAGCTATTTGAAACATCAATAAATATTAATTGAATTATAGATATTATTAAAAATTCCATCCAAAATTTAAGCAATTTACAAGTATACAAAATTTGAGAAGAATCGGACTTACCAATTGCAAGAAAAGCTCCCAAAACCTCTTGTTCATTGGCTGCACTCTTTCTTTGATTTGAATGTTGATCTTTCAACAAAGATTTCTCCTTATTAAACTATTCAATTTCTTCAAAAATTAGATTATGTATAGATATTTAAGTCTTTATTATTTTTACCAATTTTTTCTTTAATCCAATGTGGAAATATTCCTAAATCTTGATATCACTTACAAATCCTAAATTTCATATTTTTGAGATCATAACCTACAAAAACCATCATATGCTTCAATATAATTGATCAATTGACCTCAAATTTCTCACATACATTTAAAACATGCACAACAATAAATATCCTAATTTTTACCTATATTCATGCTATGAAACTCAAAAAACCCTCAAATTTGTAAGCAAATTTTATTTTTCAAAATATAAACCTACAGAGTATATTATTAATTTTGAAAATCCTTCAAAATCTCAATATTAATCCAAATGATATGAAACCAATATTCAAAAATCTCTCCTCAAGTTTGAGAGTAAATCTCTCCATTGATTTACAAAAGAACCTTGGAGTCACCATAGGTGCTCGATTTTGTGCCTTAAAGTCTAATTTGACCTTGGTTGGCAACTAGTCCTCTTTAGGTATCAACTCTTGTCTTCTTAAGATATTTTTTACTAAAATCAACTCTTAACTTCTTCCTGCATTTGCTTATAGTCTTTATTTTTCTTATTTTCTCTTATTTATGGCTCTACAAAGTAAATAGAATCCATTTTTTAAAAAAGGCAATTTTAACACTAATAGATTTTACTACCTACCTATCATTTATCTATGTTTTCTTACTATATCTTTTTAATTACGTTCTTCTATAATAAAATACTTTCTTTTTTCTTTCACCTAATGGCCATGTTATTACATAACAACATCAATGAAGTTGTTGTTGAAGATGGTATTGACAATAATAATGTTTATCCAACCAAATTCATCAAGTTTCTTAATCCATCTAAAATAGCCAAATTAAGGCTTTGTCTCAAAATTGGATCTTTGGTGATACTACTAAAGAATATTGCCCCTTACTAAAGACTTTGCAATAGAATCCAATTTGTAACTACACAACTAATGGATTGAGTTCTTAAAGCAAGAATTCTTGAAGGCTAATTTGCTCAAAATTTGGTGTTTATTTTGCAAATTACATTAACTTCCTCAATAAAAGAGCTTCCATTTATTCTAAATATAAAAAAATTTCCAATACAACTTGTATTTGCAATAAAAATAAAAATAAAAGTCTCAAGGACAATCAATGAAGCATGTTGGTTTGGATCTAACAAGAAGCTACTTTTTTTTTCTATGGTCAATTTTATGTAGTACTTTCTTAATGTAGTTCCTTCCATTCTATGAAGATTTTTCTTCTTCCAAACAAGAATTCAAATTCTATATTATATATTATTTTTCCTAAAATTTTAATTAGTTAGTTATTAATATTTTTTATATTATTTATTTATTTATTTATTTATTTATTTAGCTATAGTTTCAAAACTTGATTTTAGTAAATTCTTAAATGCCTTAATAAAATTTTATGCTTTCATAATATTTATAATCTAATTATAGTATATTTTATTTTAAATACATAAATCTAACTAATTTATTACTTTTAAGTTTCATATAATTTATATTTAATTTTTTATATTTAATATAAAATCAAAATAATTTGAATCATTAGTTTTCTAAAATCTAAAAATACATCTAAGCTTAATATTTTTATCTATTACATATTTAGTACTAAATTTAGTATCTAATAAAATTTATATTATAATATTTAAATAAAATAAAATAAAATAATGACAAGTAAGGCACCTAAAGACATTTATGCAAATACAAAATGATGATAATAATTTCTTGTACAGCTTCTGAAATCTAAAGGGAAAAAAATGCTTCTTAAAAAAAAATGGAAATCCACCTAAAACAAAAAATATATATAATATTTGGTAATAAATATGTGAAGAAACAAATAAATAACATTTTTTTCTATGGCATATTAAAACTATAAATTTCTTCAATCTTGATAGAAACTACAAAATAGATTTAGCTAATAATTATAAAAAAAATGATTAAATAAATACTCTTCAACATTCAAAATCACTATTCATAAATTTTTATACTTGTATACTTTGTCACTCAAAATAATACATTAAATTTTTAAATAGCATATTCAAAAATAGAAAATCAAGTAAAAAACCTGTAATAGTGGATGCGTCCATGCAATCTGTGGGGAACAAGTAAAATCAAATAAAATGAAGGCTCAGTGTGAAAGTCATGTAAACGGAGAGATAAATAATATCGAAGAACAAAATTTTATTAATTCAGCATGGTTAACTACAGCCAAATTCTAGGCAAAAACAGTGACCCCGAGTTACCAGTCTAGACAATATGAGCACCTGCAGTGCTAACTTTGCAGTAACGGAGATACTCCACAGCACTACTACTGATCGCTATTACTCTTGGTCAGACTACTAGCACATTAGCAAGGACATCCCTTTTGCCTTTAGCGTAAATGGTGTATACAAGCCGAACGGCGTCTACCCATGCATCCATGCTATCCCAGGTATCTGCAATCTGCACACCAACACCCCTCGCAAGAATCCGTTCGTGATGATCTAAGGTAAAATGACAAATTTCACACAATATGTGGATTGAAACTACTTGTGTATGTAACAATAACGAGTGAATCCATACAGCTCGAGAAAGTCAACTTAGAAGCAAACGAAGAGATTGCATAGGGATGGGTAGTGCGAAAACAAGCAGCACATCCTAAAAATTACACAAAAATTACATGAAGATCAGAAAAGAATACTTTTGCATATTTTTATTTATGTACAATGGGAAAACGACATGGAGGCGACACAATAGTTAGAAACATATTTCTACACTATAGCCTCCCTGAAACATTTAACATACATTATCATCATGTCGGAATATGGCCTTCGATAAGATAAAAAAGAATAAGGTGTAGATAAGGGGTTAAGACAAGCACACAATCCATCATCAAATAGTGGACAAGGTCATAACAGAAGTGGAAGAATCGTAGGAGACGAACCAGATATTGTTCACCAGCGTCAGTATCAATGCAAAAACTTCCTCCAGGCGGGAGGCTGAAATCTGCTGTTGGGGCTAGACCTAAAATATCTTCCATTGCGATTCTTAAAACCGATGACTTTGGAGCAATACTGCTACTTGCATTAATTTCTGAGGTAAGAGTGCTAGAGTGTCTCGAGTAGCTATGTGCAAGGGACTTTCGGTCAACTTTCTCCATCTGTACAAAGAGACCCCCGCCAAACCCTTAACCCCATGGAAAAACTCATTGCTGGATAATTAGCAATGATTGATTATTAATGATAGAATTCAGGGAAAGTAATACATAAAAAACATAAATGAACTCAAACACTAAGAATCTCGCAAGTCCAGAAAAAATTTACATGCGTATGATGAAGTGAGTTACCCCATAAAGTGCCTCATGGTCGAGAACAAACCACAATCGCAACCAGTCATTATGTGGAGCCAGAGGGTCCCCAAAAGGAGGAATCGTCAACCATCCGGCTCGAAGGTAAGGCAGGGGCAACTGTAAAAACAAATATTTGAAACACAATTATAGACTGACTGAAAAATGCATACAACACGAAACGCCTCCATATGAAACCAAAAGCAAGTTGAGAGTTCTTACGAAATTCCGCACCCGCCGTAGACCACCTCTATACACCTACACTTTCCAAACATATATTTCAACTGTGAGTTAAAATCCAGATTCAAGCTTAATAGTCAAGCGATGGTACTTAAGCAAGTCTAACATAAGTGAACAGGCTATTGATGCATACCAACGTATCTACTCTATTCCCAACAAGTAAACAGAGACTCCAAATAAAAGACCATTTCCAAATATAAGTATTTCAGAATTGATTCTTTCTTGAGCCATGTTACATTTTAGTTATAGAATCATGCATTCACTACATCCACCGAAAAACTATAGTGACTTAACCACAAAAATCCGTATATTCGATGAAGCCAAATGTTTGAAGGAAAGAATATTAGCCCTTAAAGAAAAATTAAATTAAATTAAATTAAAATTAAATTAAAATTAAAGAAAAAAAGAGTGAAATACTTTTAAATTGGTAGTGAAAAGATTAGGCTCCTACTGGATAATCAGGCTTCAGCGCATGTGCAGAAGCTATGTAGATGGCACATGATGTGGTGTAAGCTCTTTTTCTGTGAGTTTTCTTCCAGTCCTTGCAATATTTTCTCCCAGACCATACTGTTGAGGAAGGATGCACCACATGAACAACACACCAAAATATAGATGGAACCAAAAACCCTCCTCGTCCTTAAAAGAATTAAACGCCTATATATCGACAATGATCACTGTTTACAAGAAAGCACCGTCCCTTCAAGAAGGATCAAGAATTGGTTCGTACTAACGCTGGGGTTGACCTCTGACTTAATGAGACATTTATAAGGAAACGAGTAGAAAAGAAGAAATTATATCAAAAAAAATTTGCAAACTTACCAGCACGGTTCCCAAGTTGTAAACAGCACGATGAAAGTCGAAGCGGAGTCGAATAGCAGCACGAAACTGGCGAAAATGAATAATTCAACAATTTGCGGAAGCTATCAAATTTGAGATCAAAAGAAAACATCTCTGTGTTGGCATTTCAAAACCAGGAGTTCAAATTTGGGGAGGCATTGGCAAACTGTACTTTTCTTATTGCCATCTTGATTATAGCACGTTCCTCTTTCAATGCAACAATGGCTCCAAGTTCCTGCGATTCCAAAGTCAACATTTGAACACCAGCGAGAAAACCCCAATTAAGGATTAGAATAAAAAAATTGCTAACAACCATTTCTGGGATTTAAACAATTCACAAAGCAGCCGCGTAATTGCAAAATGCTGTTCTTCTAAATTTCAAAAATTTGATAAATTGTTATTAAATAAAAAATATAACCTGCAGTGCAAGACCCCAGTTGTTCAATGCCTGCCAAGAAGAACCAGAGTGTTGGTCATACAAGAGATGATCATACTGATTTAATAACTCCACAAGTAGATAATGAAGAACATAGATTGCTTCTAGCTGGTGCACAATACTTCTTTGCCAAAGAAAGAACAACAAAGTCCTGTTAAGTGTCCATACATTTGGCACGAATGTAGGGAGGAAGCATCAGGCAGTTTTCTATCAAAACCTGCGGATGGGTGTACTTGAGAGCATCCGACAAATCTCTCGTAGACCAAAGATAAATAGTTATAAACTCAAACGTCTCGGGGGTCAAAGGCAAAGGTCGTTAAAGAGTAGGATGCAGTAGATTGGCCGCAAATACCTGAGGACTGTTCCAGTTCAGTTGCACAGCCCGGTCGTATCTGTCACACGCCTTCAAAACGAACAAGATGTTAGGCTGTATCTCAAATAGAACACTAAAATAGAACACTAAAATAGAACACACGTTACTTAAGTTTAGAAACAAAAAGACTTGATCCTCGCCAATAGAGACAATAACCAACATCGTTGATTACAGGGTTGATCAGAAAGACTGGTGCGCAATTTATACAAGACCAGGATGGTAGAAGTGGCAGCATGTCAAGTCATTAATCGACCAAGTAGCACCTCGTGTAGAGTAGGACAAAGTTGAACAGCAGTCTGATATTTCTTGCATGCGTCCTCAAGCAGTGCATCCTTTTCTGGAGAACCCACCTCTGGTCCTGCATTGTCTGCACTTTCCTGCCAAAAGGGGGTATTTGATCATGAGTGAAAGCGGCACAGATGACAATCTCAAATTAAGGGAGAAATAAAACAAAAACAAAAAAAACAAAAAAAATTGAAAATATGAAACATTGAAGAAATAGCTTGCATGACATATCACCTGCTCACAAGCAACTTGCGAGTACATATGACCAGAGAACACACCTGAAGAACCAGTGCCCAGTTGTACAGAGCATCATGGTTCTCTGGATTTTTCTCCACGTCCACTGCATACCTGTGAAGGAAGATGTGGATTCGTCAGACACATCCAGATTCAAGTGTACACAACAGCCTGATGAGAGTTACCTGAAATCTTACAGATCTTTCAAAACTTGACTTGCACCCAACTGCAAAAATGTGCACGATTTTCTCCCTTCCGAACTAAAGTTGCGTAGATACGTGTCATGGGGTTTTGATTTTGCCTTCCCAATTCTACTACATAATCTAGAATTAAAGCTGATTTTTTTAGAAAGTAACCATTGCATACCGCTTAGCTGCAAAAGCAAGAATAAGTTGTCGGGAGTGTCCTTCATCCTCAACAGCATTATCATACAGGATGTCTCCAACTATGTTTGCGCCACTGGTAGATGACCTGTGACTCAGAACGTCATTCCTGCACATGACGAGGATTGCACTCGTACTTTATAAAATAACCACCACATAATCAAGTGCAGATGAAGAGATAACAGATGCACAACATGGAAAACAACAAGATGAAGTCAACGATTAACTAGCATTCAATGACTCCAGAGTCCATCAATTCTCTACATGACCAAACTAGTTGATATAAAGCTCCAAGAGAGGACTGCATGTTCATGACATACGACTGCAACACAATGACAATGAAAACGAGCGAGCAAGTGAACACAAGTCAAAAAGCAGAGGACTTGATTCGGTACCCAACAAGTTCATTCTTCATGGCATTGCCGCCCAATATTTTAGGTTTCCACAGTAACTTGAAGCATCACAGGTGATCTAAAGAGAGATCGATTCGCAAAGAAAAACACGTTTCAGTGCATGTGAGAAGGACATAGATTTACCAGCAACATCAACATTGACTGCGCTTACTAACAAGGGCATGGTTAACTGAATAGGCAGCATTAGAAACTTCATCATCCAATGGACAACATACCTGTCCGAATCGCCCAAATGTGCCGGCTTCAAAGTTCTAGAAGACGCATTGTCACCATTGCATTGGGATGTTGTCTGTTCAACATCACTACCTACCCCATCAACCACACAAATCTCAACTATTTCATCGTTGAACAGAGGTGCCTCCAACAGATCAGCCCCAGACACTGTCCTCGATGTATTCTTATGGTTATCTTGGCTGCCTACATGCTCAAATGTTTTTAGATTCCATTGCTCACTGTCAGCTCCTTGTAAAACAGTCAGGCCTTAACCAGTGCAATTTTCTCATCCACTCTTATTTTCATAGAGATACCCTGTGCCCGCAACACCAGAATTGAGATCATTCGAAGGAGCGTGCTCTGCAGGTAGGAGAGAACCGTTGTCATCAATGTTCTCCGTGGCAAGGCTCTAAGATTCATCCACAGCCTCCCTGCTGTTTACAATCGATCCGTGAAAAAAAGATTCGAATGGTCAAATGCCAGAGGCTCAGGAGGATGCACTGCTTTCTTGATGCTATCTTCGGTTTGATTTTGTTTATTCAAATTGCTCAACGCTGTCTGTAACAGAACGCTTTCCAAATGCGACTGCTTCAAGAGGAGTAAGAGAACTTTAGACAAGGGGAAGGGCGTGACCCCCTGTACAAAATCTGAAGCATCATGTCCTTCCCGTCCTCTGCCATAGCTACAAGATCGGAATAGGAGTAACATCCTGTCCTCATGGCCTAGACAAGGTTCGAAGGGTAAAAGGCGATCCCTAATTGGAATAGAAGGAAGTGTGAGCTACGCTAAGAGGTGAGCAGCGAAGAATCCTAAGTATGTCAGACGCAAGCCATCAATGAGATGCAGTCTAATTCAACGCATGAAGTGGATGAGAAGAGCAAGTTTGACGAAAAAAATTGTAAAGGGAATGCATGTAGAGAGACCGAGCAAGGGAGAGACGGAAGAGAAGAATCACAACAAATTGAAAGGGAATGCAGGAGAAGCAGGAACAGGGTTGATCGACGCAAGGAGAACGGAAAGGGACGGCAATTGATAGCTATAGCAAAATGGGAGAGAAAAAAAAAACAAACAAACAAACAAACAAACAGAAACGAAAACAAAGAAGAACAGAAGGGCAAGGGAGAAGAGCACCAGGGAGGTTCAACTGACTTACAAGCAGTGGTAACAATGAAGATGCGCTCGCCTCAACTGCAGGGCCTACCAGCCAAACCTGGATGATAAGAGAAGTGAGTCACGAGGAGTGTAAGCGGGAGGAGACCATGCACCAGCACGCACACATTCCATGAAAGGGAAGTTGGCGATCAAAGCCCAGGCATCGTAGTCGTAGTAGTAGAAGGGGCAGACAAGAAACTGAGTCTACCAACCAAAAATCCTCCTCCCTTCTTCTTCTTCTTCTTCTTCTTCTACTACTACTACTGCGACTATACTGTCCCTTCTGCTGCTGCTTCCGCTTCTTCTTCCTCCTCCTCCTCCAATTCCTGATCCTCAGCATTGCTCTATCCCGTTGGAACGCGACATTGGCTTGCATTCATGGTGCGAAGCCAGCCAGCCGCACTGCGACAGGGGCCTGAGCTTGGGGGAGCATTGTCGGAGCTCGAAGTAGGACTTGGAGGCTGCAGCCATTCTTCCTCCCCCTTCATGGGTTCGCGTCATCGACACGTGTATCTCCCTCCTTTGGTGCTGCCAACGTGGCTCTCTTCAGCCACTTTTCCCTCAGAAAATAGTAGGGCGTGGTTTTTAAACCATTTTTTCTGCATGGCATGGGTACCCACCTCAACTTTGGGTGATAGCTTTGAACACATGAAAATTGTCTAGTAGTTGTAAGTGCTTGTGTGATCTCTAAGTAACCATTCTTTAGTTGATATGGTTGTAGTTGTGTGTGAGTTTTTTTTTCATAAGACTGGTAAAAAAGCAAGGGGTTTCACACTTTCATAAAAGTTAAAAGATGTGCATGTGTATGAAACCAAGTAATCAAACTTAATAATTATTTGAAAAGCTCTTTAAAATACATCCATTTTCTAATTCTTAAGTATTTTGAAAACTCCTGAACTGTGTCATTAGTGCACATGATTGCAAAATCAGACATTGTAATGAACAACCAAGTGACTTAAATAAAATATGAATAAAATAGAAATAAATAAATCACAATGATTTTATTTTTTCATACAATATAAAGGATGCTTTTTAAATGTGGGCTTGGATTCATAAGTATCCTTAAATATGTCACGTGACTATAAAAAAAATATACAGAAAAATCTTTCAAGCTAATTCACAAAACATCTTTTTCATTATCAAATTTTAAAATTTGTATATGTAGCATTACATGAATCTTTTTTACTTTTTGAGTTGAAAGAATGACTATACAGATTTTATTTTTTAAATTATTTAATGATTGAAATTATTGCTTTCAAAAAAGAAATCCATCATGTATGAGAGGTGAAAACGGAATACCTGCCAAGTTGCAATTCATGCGAGGTCACCAATCCGGTTCGCGACTGACGTGGCATAAAAATGCTCCGGAGAAGCGGTAGGGCATGGGAATGCGGGGTGCGGTGTGAAAGGGGGTCGAGAGGAGTGGGGATGCCCTGCTCTGCTCCTGCTCTGCTCTCTGCTCCTGTTCCCGCCCCTTCCCTTCCCTTTTGCCTGGCTGGACTCGATTTTGTTGTTCTTTTGGTCTCTCGTTCTCTCAAATGGTGGCGCACCATCGCCACGCCCGGCAATCCAGCCCCAACAGACACTCACAATCACACATACACACACTCACTCACACACTCACACCCAGGCAGGCAGGCAGGCAGGCCGCGTGGATCCCTTCACTCGCTGTTCCTCCATTCTCTCTTCTACGCCGCTCTCCCCCCATCTCTTCCCCTTTCTCCATGCAATTCTGTGATTACACTTAACAAAAATTCCTCTTCTCTAGCGCATGGAATTTCTACTTTGCGCCCTCTTGGTTTCCTCTCCCGTTTCTCAATTGGTCGATCGTCGCTGCCCATTCTCATTCTTTGCGTTCTCCTACTCCTCTTCATCCATGTTGCGCTCTTCTTCTTCTTCTTCTTCTTCTTCTTCTGCTTCTTCTTCGTTAACTCGGGTGCTCCTGTAGACCAATCCAGTCATGGCCATGGCTATTGAGGGAACTTCAATCTCTCCTCGAACAGGTTGTCATCACACCAACTGTCTTTTCACCATTTAATCCTTGAGCTCATTGTTGCATATGCTTCTTCCCTCAGATGACCCAACAAAATTAAATCTTCTTTCATTTCTCTGTTTCCATCTTCTAGCGGTGATACGAGTGCTGGTGGGAGCTGTGGGAGATAACTCATCTACTGTTCAAGATGCCGCTGCAGCTGCCTTGCGCCAAAATGCCCGACAGTATGTCTCTTTCCCTGCAATCATATATTTGTATGGAACCACGCAGCATGCTACTTAAATCCTTTTCAACCCTTGTGAATCAGGGAATATCATCAATCTCAGGTGATAGCCTACAGCATGAGTGCGATGTGGTTGATGGATAAGGGTTGTGCGTGACTGCAGGAATGCTACAACAGTCCTCGACTGCTGCGCTGCAAGTCTTCGAGGGTCCAAGAAGGTATTGCTTTCCACGAGTCTCTAACCACTTTTCCTGTTCTCAGAATGCATATTGTTACAAAATCCATGCATCTGGTGTCTTTCTACAAAATCACCTGGTGGTTTATGAGAAGGTTACAAAGGTAAGTATTACTGATGCTTTCATGTTGTGTCATTGCTAGCGAACACCATCTGCAACCGAACCAGGAGTTGTATGTCGATCATTACTTGATTTCAGGTTTAATCGAATTATTATTTTGATGGTTTTCTCTTTCGTCACTCGAGAACTCGTTGATCAAATACTATGCGGTGTGCATCATACAGCGAAGTGTTCAGCTGGGCAATTACCGCGCTGGTTTGCTTCTCATCATGGCACACACAGTGCGTGAAATGAGAGACGAAGAAGTCGATGCCGCGTTTATGCGTAAAGTCACGAAACTTGCTATGGCAGACCTTTCTATGAACAAGGTACTTTCAATATGCTTTGGCATCTGTGAAAGATTAAATAGCTTCGCGCAAAGCCCATGGACTGTGAAAGTGCTCCTGACGCCTTCAATCTTTAGACCTTCACAATCACATGTCTTTCACAAGTTTGTATTTGGTGTGAGCAGGAGATGAACCCGGATTGGCTGCACTCTGCTTCAAGTCTTCTTGTGGCACTTGGGTCTAGATTCCCCGATATGGTATTGCTAGTGTTTCCGATCTTTGTCATGGGACATTTGATTATGTAGGTTGAATTCTTTATTTTCTCCGAAAGTTCTTGTTTCTTTTTCGTATTTTCATTAGTCCTTGCTTCATTATACAGATGATGGACGAAATTTTTAATCAGTTGGGAGGACCTTCAGTTCCTGTTGTCGCCCTCGTTCAGACGCTGTCGGAGTTTGCCAAATTACATGGTTGGTTGTTTTCTATGTATTGTCTTAATCGGTCTGAATCTCTATTAGTGCTCCTCGAAATGAAATTTATCTGCTGGCCATGAGATTCTCTCCTCATTTTCAATATTTCCGTATCTCTGACCATCTGGAAAAAATATATTTGTGCAAACGGTGGTTTGTGTAAAGTTTTCCACTAATGATTCGACATAGTTCAAGGGCTGATGGCTGAGAATGACCTGTCCGTGACCTGAGGCTGCATATTTTAGAGTATTGAACCCCAATTTTTAATTTTCAATTTCTTAGAATTTTAACCATAAACTTCCTTGCTGATTCAGTACTCAAGTCTGTACATGACGTGTTTCCTTGTGCCTTCACAATTGCAACAGTCTTGATTATGATTGCTGGTTTGTCAATTCTGACAGTTTGCATTGTTTTAAATGAAAGCTTTGCAGTTTGCTCCACGATTGAAGAATGTACTCTCACGGGTGCTACCTCTCTTAGGCAGTGTTAAAGATTCGCAAAGAAATATCTTTGCAAAAGGTGAGGAGTTCTAGCATTTTCATTTTTATTTATTCCCTGCACCTCCCCCATCATTTGCTAGTAGCTATCTGGTGAACAATTCACCATATTCTTTTCTTAAGAGGTTTCTTTATTTGGTATATTAGCCAATCTACCACCTTGCTATGCCTCCATAGGAATCTGCGTTTCAAGTGTTCGTGCATCGTGTTTGGATGCTCAAGTCTTTCATTTCAGAAAAGTTACGAGGATGATTTGCGCTGACTTGGAGAGATGAATTCGATACGAGCTCTAGTTTGTATACATATCAAAGAATGGTATGTTTGACAGAAAAATGCAATATGATGCTACTGCAGCCATGACATCTTGGTGTGAAGCTGTTTCTCAGCATCAAGAAGCCTCCCGTACACCCACTCCGTTGGGAAGTGACCTGCAGTAAGTGGTTCTGATCATTCCCTTGCTTTCAACAATAAAAACATGTCACAAGGTCTGATGTTTTGTAGGAAATATAATTTTGCGGGTTAGGCCAGTATTAGAGTGCAGAACATAACTTGGACTCTATCTATGTAATGTAAGTTTTTACCTCAGAACTAGTGATGGAGTTCCAGATGAATTTCTTTCCATCATGCCTTTCGGACACATGCTATGCGTAAGGACAATACTAATCAGTATACTTGTGGAATTTGCCCCTGTGCAGAGCACTTCTGCACTCAGCATTTGAACTTTTTCTCAATTCGTGGGTGCTTTCTCGAGATAGGAAGGTAAGTCTACTCCCCAACCAGCTGCAAGCGCTGTGAAGCACTGAATTGAGTGTTGCAGTGCTGATTACATCTTCGTCCCTGCATCACTTCAGAGGATACTACTTGGTTTTTCTATTGCATCATGAAGGGTTCCTATTTGTATCATAGCTAATGAACATTTCTTGCTTTAGCTTCCTTTAATAAAGCTCTGGCTTGAGAGGATACGCGTTATCAGGAGTAACCTTCCCATGTTCACTTCAATATTTTGAAACTAGAAAGCTTATTTAGTGTTGAAGAATAACGATGTTGTTCCTGGATCCAGGTGCGCTCTGCAACGGCAGAAGCCTTGGGTGAACTGGTGGGTTTGATGAGCAAACCACAACTGACGTTGGCTCTTCCTAGACTCCTCCCCGCTATATTAGCCGTGTACGTATCCGTTATTTAAGTTCTAACCTCATAGAATAATTCATGCTGAATGGTTAGAAGAAGTGAGGTGTACTTTTACAGTTACTGGCTCAGCATCATGTGCGTGGTTGGTCCGCTTAAGTGTTAGCCACCTACCTTTGTTAATCATTGTTAAACAATGTTAGTATCCGACTCATGGAATTAAAATTACACTGTTCTTCTCCCTGTGTTTCCAGCTAGTTGGGGTCACCTTTACATTGTAAGTCGTTATCCCTGTTGACATCTTCAACATTGCTGTTGGCAGCTACAAGAAGGAAAAGGAGGATCCGCTTCCAGCTGCACATAGTCTCCATATGGTTCTGAATGCAGTATTATTGAATTATGGTTCTCCATTGGTCGATTTTCAGGTACTTTTGTACTTTTTATCTATCAATCTAAGGCTGGCAATTTTTGCCGAACTGCTCCTCTAATTCCTAACTGTTCTACAAATTATTGACTACTAGCAGGTTTGGTATTCACAATTGTTCTTTTAGGTAGCGCATGATGCGTATGATTCACTGAGCTCTCCGGATGTCAGCTCTGGTGGTCGCGGTCTGCACTTTATGGATGAAGATTCTTTCTAAGTTGATATTTGTTACAGCACAGTTCAGTAAGGGAAAAAAGAAGAAAGAATAAGATTATATGTTTGTCTAACCTTATACTATTGGATACGTGCATATTTGATCAGGCCTTGTTGGCCACGTTGAATGTATTACTCCCAGTGGCATATTTTTCTACAAGCAAAGGAAGTGGAGATGAACTTAGCTCATACTTGAAGGTGATTTGTACTTCATATAATTTGTGATGGGTGGCCGTGAATTCTATTTGGAGGATAGTGTTCATGTTGTATGTACAATCATTTTCTTATGCGTATCTACAATCTTCAGAGTTGATTGTCTTCTGAAATTGCTGATAGGACGATTCAAAGATTTGAGTTGGGTAAATTGGCTGAAATTGATGAGCTGCAATTAATGCGTTGGAGTGCTCCTTTCTGGTTCTTGTAGAGCTTCAACGAAGTTTTGCACTGCTTTGTAATAATTGGTGCTGTTTATCCAGAGGAAATGTACACTTTCCTATTGCACGTACGTTTCTCTCTTCTAGACCCTTTTACTGTACTATTAAGTGAAACTGTACATGAGGCTGATAGGACTGTTTTGCAACGAATCGGTGGCACGCGAAGTAAAGTTTGACTTTCTTGGTACTGTTCTTGCGGATAAGCCTATTGGATAACTACGATTGATTACTACTCCTAAGGTCATCAGCTTTCTAAGTCACACACTGCTTTGGGTGGTCTGTTTCAGCGTTTAAAAGCCAGAGAGGATCCCATACGGCTCGGTTCCTGCTCAGTGATAAAGCATTTACTAACAAGGTGCAATTATGTGAAATCCTACATGAGCTTTTTAGCTCACTTTAATATATTTATGCTTTCTTGAGTTTGCTCATTATGTTACCAATTGTATGTATTATATTTATGGAATATATTTCAGGCTTTCATTCTGCTAGTTAAAGATAATTCGTTACTCTGAATCTTTTCTTTTTCAACACTGTCGCCTAATTTTGCTGATATGCCTACATCAATTTTGTTGCATTGATGCACCTGGGATCCATTTATTTACAGGTTGTCTGAGCCATGGGCATCAAGGAAAGTGGAGCTTGTTGAGGTGGTGGGGGATCTTTTGCAGGAGAAAGACCTCAATACTAAAAAGGCAGTTGCCGAGGTATTAGGGCCTTATTTGTGAGCTCTTGTTATCATCTTATATGGATAATCGCCGTTTATTATTTAGATTAATTAAGATAAGTAGATGTTCTCAAGTGATTTCGATTGTACCTAAATATTGTTAGTCGAAGATATATCACATTTATTTATCGATTTCCATCTTCATAAAGAAACAAGCTATTACTATTCTGTTATATCTCTTAGCTAACAAGTTGTTGATATATCTTAATCTATTTCAGCTCATTGTATCGATGGCATCTCATGGGGTTTTCACGAAGGATACTGGAGAACCATATGTTGAATTTTTAGTGCAGCAGTGTGCTATATCGGATGCTGAGGTTGAACGAGTACAAGCGGAACATGCAGCTATTGAGAAGGCCATGGGCATGCTGCTTGCTTCTCCCAATAAAACCGAGGTTTTTTTTTGTTTTTGATTTTTCTCTTATACTATATATTTTTTTATTTCCTCTTTCTTTTTTCTTTGTTTTGTACCTTTACTGATACGTTTTTTGGTATGATTCTACTATCTTTAATTAAAGTATTATTGATTTTATGTTTGGAAAAAGTGATGAAACCTGTAGATTTTTATCCATCCAAGGTTTTGAGCGGAACTTGTAAAGGGTTGTATTTGTTAATAGATGGAGACTCAGCAGAGGTCTATCAAATATCTATCGATGTATATTCAGGATTTGTCAATTTCTGATGCACAGATCAATGTGGGAGCTGTTTCACCATCTGAACTGCGAGCTGTGAGTGAGAAAAGCTTGCTCTTGCTCGCAGGCATTGTCGCTAACGTGGAGGTTGGTCCTTTCTGGCCAGCTTTTTGAGGCACAAAGAACAGGATGCCTGTGTTAAGGCATTTGACTTTTAATTCAAGTTCTCAAACTTTCTCTTTTGCTTATAATCCGGGTTCTGAATAATGGATGACACAAGACGGTCGAAATGAGTGAGTCCTTTCTAATTGATTTAGATTTTGCCGCATCAAAAATTTGAGACGTTGTTCCTCATGTCACGCAGTTGGTTATTTATGCCCTATTTTTTGTCTTTAATATGTTGGCTACCTTTTTCCCTTCTTGTCCTGGTGTTCCTGTTGCAGGTCGTTCTTTGGCCTTTATTGCTGAAGATGCTAGTAGTGGAAAAGTATACGGGCGCTGCATCCACGGTATATTGTTCATTCTTATTTGATAGTCACTGCCGCTTCCTGTATTTGACTTAATCTATATTTCCGCGTGTTTCCACAATGATGATGTCTGCGGGGTTGGGGCTCGTGTGTAGCTTCTGTTACTGTTCTCTTCTCAATTGTTGTCATCTTTGAACTCTATATATTGATCTTAAAGATTAAAGATTACAGAATATACCTTTCTGTTCTTGAATTGCCTAGGTGTGTAGGTGTATTTCAGAGCTCTCGCGCCGAAAACTTGCACGTGCGGAAAGCATATATGTAGATTACACTTTACATGCAGATATTCCTCGGCCAGAGGTGCTCTCCGTTCACCAGTTTGTGACTAGTATTTTTGTTTTGTTTTATTTTATGTAGTCTTAGTTTCAAAGTTTCTTATTTCCTTTGATCGAAAATTGCAATACTTGTGATGTGGTTGCTTTAAAATGAAACAAAACTTTGCAGGAAGTTTTGGCTCGATTGTTGGTGCTTCTTCAAGATCCTATGGCAAGGGATCAGCTGGGGTCCCGCATTTTGACAGTGGGTACCTTATCCATTCTTAAACAAAACTGTATCAGTAACTTCTTGACGTAAGTATTCTCAATTTTTCAGGAGCTGGTTATGTCAGATGTACCTTACATTCATGGTTTTATTGCAGGTTCTTTATCATATTGGCCCACTTTTCCCACCAGCAGTGGTTCTCCTTTGGGAAGATGAGGTTTGTACATTTTTCTAATTTGCCTTACTTGAGACTGTTCGTTTAGAATACTGAGAGTAACCGAAACGTGTGTTGGAAATTATTTCCGATTCTGAAGGGTGGTGGGTGAACTTGCAGATTCCAAAATTAAGGACTTATATTACTGATGCTGATGATATGAGAGGAGATGCCTTGCAGCAGACAATTTGGGAGGACATGATCATACATGTATTTTGCACACAACGCCATGAGACTCCTGACTTAATATATTATCCACTTGCACTTCATCTTTTTTTATTGTTTTGATGCTTTTGCGAAGCTTCACCTTGATCGTGGTAATTGCAGCTGCTGTCAGAGTCACTTGATGTTATTCGGGATCAAGAGTGGACAATATCTATGGGCAACGCGTTTACCAAGCATTACGATCTGTATGTGGGAGACAACCAGCATTCAGCCTTGCTGCACAGGTTTGTGTCGAACATTTATTGCACGAGGGTTGTAGCCCACGTACCTATTAGGGAGACATTTATGGAATACCCTGTGTCTTTTATATCTGCTGTATCTTCTCTGCACTCTTTTGATTATTGTAAGGATGTTGAAGTCTTTTTGAACCGACGTAGGATTAAATTCCTACTTCGGACGGTTTTTGGTTCGCGAAGTGAGCAATTTTGTAATGGATTTCGACGCTTTCTATGCTAATGCGGAAGTACATGATTTTGCAAGAACAAAGACTGAGGAAATTATTAATTCGTGCATTTACAATCATAAAAAATTTCTTACGTTTTCATGATTGTTGTGCTTTTGGTGTATACTGCAGGTGCATGGGGATGTTACTGCAGAAGGTAAACAACAGGAGCTATGTGCAGCAGAAAATCACAGCAATGTACAAGCATGCCGACCTTGCTGACGAGGTTAATCGACTTGGTCTTGCAAAGGGCATGGGCTTGGTATCGACTCAGCTTTTCGACTTGAACGATTTTTTTAAAAAAATATTATCATTATTATTATTATTATTATTATTATTATTATATCGTTTTCCAGTTTTCTGGAGTGCGTTGGTGTTGAACAGGAACTCATGTAGTATGAATGCGGTGCCCTAACAATTTTCAGCCTAATGAATCATTTGGGATCTTTACTTATTAGGTCCCAACTTGTAATGCATGCTATCGATGAAACTTAGAAATTATATTAATTATATTTTATAAAAGCAACTTCCAACCACAAAGTTTTAGGTTTTTTAAACTTAGTGCTGTCAATCTGCAGGTTGCTGCCTCCCACTTAGATACGGTGCTCGAGAAACTCAGGAGAGTGTTAGAAAGCCAAAATCAAACGGGAATTCGCAGGTCTATCTGGCTGCACCTACAAAGCCTTCAATTTGCACTACGAAACTCGTTAATCTCTTCTCACGATATCCTCCTAATTTTCTTTTCTTTAGTGGCAGTAAATGCTAAGAGATTGTTTCTTTTATGTTTCAGAGTTATCGCCTATCTATTTTCGCAGGGGAACACTACCGAAGTAGATGACGTATGTGCTGCACTCGCTCTTATGTATGGATATGCGGCATCTTACGCGCCTTCGGCTGCTATTGAAGCTCGCATTGAAACTCTGGTGGTAAGAAACATGTCGACTGAACTGATGATGGCTTCACGTTTGACTCGAGACATCTTCGATTTCTCAACTTTGCCTATTTGCTTTGAATTAGCCTGGAGTTTACGACTGTAGGCATCAACAAGATGGTCTTTTCTTTTCTGAAGCATGCAACTGTTTTGCGTCTTAATGATTGGGACCATGTTTTCATCCAGCTTCTGACCTGTCAGTCATGTGCCTGCATGTCGGCTGTTGTGTAGTAATCAGTGGCCCCTGAAAATAAGTTAAAACGCATGTCGATCCACTTTTCGTTGTTTGCATCAGATTATGATTAATATATCTTCTTTTTTTTCATTTCATTTCATGTCACGACCTGAAAGTTCCTTTTGACTCAATAACAAGAATCGTAGCTTCCCAGTACTGAGATGTTAGAGGAAACTTGTTCACTCATCTGCAGTTTTCATTTCATCATCGTCATCATTTTACTGAAATGAGACTAATTCGGTGTCGTGTTACTGTCTTATTGCACTACTACTTTGGTTTCTGATTTGTCTATCTGTTTGTTTGTTTGCCAAATGCATGGATCTCATTTTCACCAGGGGACAAATATGCTATCTGGATTTTTAAATGTCAGATCTCCGGCAGCAAAACAAGCGGTCATAACTGCAATAAGCCTTTTAGGTTTACTTGCACCGACTTACTCTTGTATTTCTTTCTTTTTTCTTTTTCTGTTTTTGTTTTTTGTGGTTTTTAAACAGCCCTTTCTTCAGAAGTGTACTTCAAAAACGTATCTTCACAGTTTGATGATCAAATTGCAGGCCAAGCGGTCCTTAAGGCTGCTGCCAATGGGGCGTTTTTCCCTTTGAAGAAAAGGGACACCATGCTGGACTACACTATGGCTCTCATGGCCGATCAAGGTGCAGGCTATGTCCTGAGCACTTCCAAGTCGTTGGATGCTGGACTTTTGCGTACACAGGTTAGGCCTGAGTACAGTACAACTATTGGAATGAGCTGGAAGAAATGGCGGATCTACTCTAAATTGTAGTTTGTGGGAATTTTCATCTGGAGAAGGTATTGACTCTCGTTAATTCGATGTTACAGGAGTTGGCATTAAACGCATGCACAACTCTGGTTTCCGTTGAGCCGAAGCTCACAATGACTACCAGAGATCGTATTCTTCAAGTAAGTGCCTTCGTAAGATTCTTCTGTTCATACTTTTTCATCTCTGTATCAAAACAAATGAAATGTGAATCCGAACGTATTTCTTGATGAACTTCTATTTCTCCTCAGTCTAATTGTCTGACGCAATTAGAGATGTTTCTTCTGTGCAATGACATTGAGAACACTCACAACTCTTGATTCTGCGATCATACTAATGATTTTTAACGGTTCTTGCTTGTTAGGCAACCTTGGGTTTCTTCACCTTGCCACCTGAAACAGTTGATGTGACAAGTTCATTGCTTTCCAGTCTGACAACCTTACTTTGTGCCATTCTCTTGACCAGGTGAAATGATATGAAGATTTATATATTTATGATTATTTTTGAAGCAAGAACTGTCACTGATAGTTTACAACAATCCTTTTCGCTCTCTGCTTTGTTTTTTCTGGTCTGCTTACTGTGTTGACTCTGTGCTGCTGTCAGTGGAGACGATGGAAAGAGTAGGGCTGACCAGCTTCAGCATCTACTCAAGAATTTGGATCAGTATGTTGCTTCACCTATAGATTATCAGCGGCAGAGGGCTTCTTACACAGTTCTGGCACTTCTGAAACAATTTCGAGCTCTTTGTACAACTGGTAGCTGTCCCTTCAACTGTGCTGGTAACTGCATGCATCTTCGCTCAACTGCAGAGCGTATCCAGAGCAGCTCTGCAGGTATATGTGAGTGTGCTCATGTTGGCCAATTTCAAGGCTTTATGATCTGACGTCGTTAACACTCTGAGCGGATGTTGTCCTTGAGTTCAATGTCGTTGATCAAACTTTCCCAATGGGTTTTCGGTAGCATACGTAACGTTCATAGCTGTTTGAGTACTTAATGCTACTACAGTGAGTTTGTCTCGTCTTTTCTGTTTAAGGTAGTTTGGTCAATAGGATAATTTGATTCTACATCATATCATCTGCATTCTTCAGTGTTGTTACCTGCTAGTTATAATATTTTTTTTGTCAAGCTTACTAACCACTTTCTAACGGACCGTATTAAACAGCTGCCCCTCTACTTCCTCCGAGGGAGGGATTGAAACTCGGGGAAAGGATTATTGCTTACCTGCCTCGTTGTTCAGATGTATCCAGTGAAGTGAGAAAGACGGCTACTGAGGTCTGTGGTCAAGTTATTTTATATTTCTGGCTCAATTTTTCTCTTCCCTGACTGCATTAGTGTAAAGAGTAGAACATTAGTAGCCTCTTATACCTTAACAAGTAAATTCTTGGTGAAAGCATTATTTTAACATACAACTTTCACCGTGTCGATATAGATATTGGACTTGCTTTTCAGTACCTCGCTACTGCTTCCAAGGCCAGTAGGCGCGGAAGGTTCCGAGGATCGACAAGCTTCATATGCTGCTGTTTCTGCTTTGGAAGATCTTATTGCTCTCACTAACTGGGTGCGTTTTCTTTTTTCTGCTAATATGTTAATTTTACCTGGTGAGAGCGGATGAAGCTCTATAAATGTTCACTTTTTCATTCTTTCTTTTTTGGTTTTTTTCACATGCCGCTTGTCAATCTTCCTCAGTATTAGACTGTTAACGTCACAGAAAATGCTGATCTTCATCATATGGCCTCCAAAGTATGATTTAAGGTAGTACTGTGATTGGAATGTTCAGGACCATAATTGATTCAAATGAAGGGAATGTAGTCGTAGGTTTGGTTATGCTCGCTTCGCATTAACTGGAGTTCATCCTTTTTGTAGGAAACGTCCACTGAAGATACGAGCGTCTTGAAGGGAATACTAAGCTCTGTTGGTGTTTTGCTGACTACCCAAGAGGTAACGATGGTTTTTGTTTTGAGTTTCGCTAGTTTTCTCGTTTTTCGTCGAACTAATTTTATGTCTAGCAAATGATTTAGTTCGTCCCGAGGTAATTTTATTTATGTGCCTCTTTGTTTCAGTAAGGTGGAAAATTGTTAAGGCTTAATGTCTTGCATGTGCATTCGATGTCTGAATTAGCAATAATAGACTCAGAGCATTTAGAGATGTATAGGTTATTCCATTTGTTGAGTACTCAGGTGATGGATTTATGGCAATTTAGGTCGTGGCAGGATTGAAAGGGTGTGTTCCAGCCATCTGTGACAAAGTTCCTCAGTCTGCAAAAGGATCTATTATTGCAGTCACAGACCTCATTGTTCGGAGAGGGGCTGAAATAGGGGAAGCCGATGTATCGAGGTAAATATTTAAGAACCCATGGCTGAAGTCTTGCTCATATAAGAGTCCGCTCTTAGTCGATGTGCGCATTTGAGGAATATTATATGGATTCTTTTCTGACATCTGGTCTACCGTGATAAAAATCTTCTATACTTGAGATTTGCGGAAGCTCTGAGATCCAATCATTTCATGATGCATGGGTTTGGCGCTTCTTGTCAAGTTTATCTGCAAAGTTCAACTTATAAGGTGCAGCTAACCTTACGTGTTGCGGTGATTTTTATATGCAGAATAATTCAAGCTCTTTTTACTGCGGCATCGTATTTACATGAAAAAATAAATCGTCAAAAAGTTCTAGCTGCGGTATGAGAAACTTTGCGCACTTACGTTGTTATTTTAAGTTTATAGTGAACTCCTCCTCATTCTTCATTTTATGAATTCGAGGTACATCTAGCAATTGATTAGATCCTTAGTGAGTATGCTGGACATGTTTGTTCAGATCATGAGCAGCTGAGTATAGAATCGTCTGTTATTGACGTGCATCGAGGTGCTTGAGTGTGATGGTCTACTGATCTAAGACATAAATAGCATCAGCTGGTTCATTGTTTATGTACTCTTAAATCACTTATTTGTTATTTCCAGATGTGCTGTCTTGCTGAACATCCGCAAGCAAGGGTGGTGTTCAACGAAGTGTTAGGTGCAGCAGATAAGGATGCCTCAAGAACTAAGCAGAAAGGAGCCTGGCCAGTACAAGAAGCATATTTGGTGAGTGAACACTTTTATTTAATGGTACTTTCATACAGATTGTATTCATGTTTTTGGAGTTTTCTGGCTTATGGAGTTGCTTCCATATCCTTCCCAGTTATGAGTTTTCTACATCTCCTTTTTATGTATCACGTGTACAGAGGACTTGAGCACTTTAGATCCGGTGAAGTATTACGAATGCAGCAAAAGATCTTATGATTGTAATTATTTTTTTGTAGATGGTATTTATACATACATTCAATCTCTCATCTTTCTGCTTGTTCCTTTTAATAAGCACATTCAAATGGTCTAAAACTTGACATGGTCTGCAGGCTCTTGCAAACCACTGTAACCTATCCCTTCCATTTTTAAACTACGTAGTCAGCATCATCAACGATGTGCCTGTGTTCCGAGAAGATGAGGCTGATAAGGCTGACTCAGAATCTTCTCAGAATCTGCTTCCGCATACCTTGAATAAACTTCCAGCAGCTGCTACTCTGGCTCTTGGGTGTATCTTCCGGTAACACTCTTCCTCCAATTACATCATAATCTCCTTAGAAAACTCTATCTGGTGGAACAAATTGCCTCACTGATATCATGGTGGAAATTCCTCATCATTGTTTACAGAAGCGGGAATGAGGTCGCCACGAAAGCTGTTGAACAACAATATTCAGCCGTACTCTGTGCTTTGATCCTGCGCATTGGGAGTTGCCATGGAACAGCTAGCCTTGATTCCCAACCACTAAGGTAGAAGGTTGCAAGAGAATAAGATTTTGTGATTTGTCGCATAGAACAGTGGATTTATATTGTGATGTCTCAGGAAGCGTTTTTTTCCATTGCGAGATGTCTTTCAGAGCATGAACACTATTTAGTGCCCAGGGTTCTTAATAATGATATTTACCTCTTCGAGTAATACAAGTGCTTGTAAGGACTAATACAAGTGTAACATGCGGTCGAAATCGGAAATTTAAGATGGCTGATTGTGACTTACTAACATGAAAGTTTTGATGTATTCTCTGGAAACTTGTAAGATATAGGACATGATTATAATATTTTAATGCTACGATTCCGAATGTAGCAGTCACTTTCGTGGATATTACCACACCAAGAAACCACTGCCTTGATTCTCAAACGCTCACTTCTTACTTGTAGCTTGTTATCTTGTGTGATTTCTGAGTCCAGGTTTTACTTGTGCAGGGATGTCATTCCAACCTTCCAATCGTTCTGTGAGTGTGTAGGGGATGAAGAAATGTCTCAGGTATACTATGGGTTTTAGTTGATTTGTTACTTATCATAATTCCTTTCTTTGGCTTCACTGAAATATTGTTCAGTTTGTAACAAAGTGACAATTGACAGGTTTTGATGAGAGACGGGGAGCACCGACTATCTGGGGACCGGTGGACAGAAGCTATTGAAGAAATTGCTGCATGCTCAGCAAAATCAAGACCACAACAGGTGCAGTCGTTATATGGTTGCTTTGAGGCTTTTCGCTGTGACATTCTGTATCTTCTACAAGTGGAAATGTTAAGAATGGCGTTTCTCTTATCTAATTCTTCTCTCATTCCGCTCGTTCCAAGCTAGAGTTTAGGATTTTAGGCCATTAGACTAAGCATGGATGGGGAGGGCTATAGTTGACTTATGAAATGGCTTCAACTCCTCAACACCTAACCTTTAGGTATTGGTTTTTCTTTTTATTCACACTCCCACGAATTGCAAGGAGTATCACTACGTTCTCGGCAAGAGTATGATCATTATGTCTAAAACTAGTTTGACCATTTATAGAATTCGCGCTTTGTTTTGTATGAGATAACTAGCGACAGGCTGTAGTTATTTTATTTTCAACGGTCACTTCTTTATGTTGAATGCAACTTGTTAGCATCCTTCGAATTAATGTTGAAAATGAATATCTGTCTATTGACCAACTGACAGTTTCGTATATATGCGTTGTTTGATGTCTTTGTAGGTTAGTAATATCTGCACAATTATCTGGCCTGCCTTGAAGCGGACTCGTGACTTCCAGCGTGCTGCTGCTGCTGCTGCTCTTTCCGATTACATTAAGCACAGGTACTGTTTACTAGATCCTTTTTCGGAAGATAAATGCTAGTGGTACGTGAAGAAAACTTATGGAAGATTACAGTCCTTTTTAAGTAATATGCTGAAATATATGTCTTTGCGAATGCCGATGGTAACCTAGTTCTGCCTTGTATCTTGCAGTGAAGAGGATGAGGTACTCTTAGGACAATTGGTTGGAGTTTTATGTGCACACATTGGAGACGATTCACCTTCAGTTCGCCGGTTATGTGTGAAGGGACTGGTCCAGGTAACTGATGTTGAAGCTAGTTGTTGAACATATATGAATGTGCGATTTTTTAGAAGTCAGAGGCACGGTAAACACTACGATGTATTAATTGAATCGCTGGCTTTGGTCACGTTGATTGTTTCTAATCGTGCTACATTGTTTACCTTCAAATGTCATTTTGTACATCTCATGTTTTTGCAGATACCAGAGTTAGGAGTGGCCAAGTATGCATCACAAATATTAAGCGTGATTGTGGCATTGATAGAAGACGCAGAGGAAGAGGTGGCACTTGAGGCTGTTCAGGGACTTGGAAAAGTAAGTGATATTCTGTCAAATTAATCATCTGCAAAAGGGGTCTACAATTCTGGTGAACTGATGCGTGGGATTGTTTTGGACGTAGAGGTACTGTCTTGATCGATGCATTCAATTCTAATGTCAGAGTTGCTACACAGTTAAAATTTCTGTAAATAATAAAGGTTTTCCTTGCTGTCTGAGATTTCCAGCAACCCATTTACTCTGTCTTGTATCTTTCAGTAATGCTAAATTGATAACAAAATAAGAGTATTGTTATCATGCTTACATAATGTAATGTCTTCTTTACAGATTTGTTTCTGATATCAACTTCAAGCTTTTTTATTATTAATTTTGTAATCTAAAAGAAGCAGGAATAATCATGTTCTTATAAATGTTGATCAGATCCTCGATTTTGAAGCTGAGGTAGTACCAGAAGCGATTGTGGCTCCAATGCTACTTAATCTGTGTGTTAGATTGCGATCCCTTCAGGCAAGTGATAGCATATATGCTGAGGGAACCTTTACGCTTAATGCAAGTGGTCTTTCATGGTCCATGTACTCGAGGAATTATCGTACCTTGCTTTCCTTGCATGTAAAAATCTAAAATTGTTTAGTCAATTTATGTTGGCTTCTTCACAAGTTCCGACTCTTCTCATTTCAGTATTCTTGGATACCTTGAATGATTACACTTAGTTCGTTCTTAGAGTATATCAAACTTGTTTGAAGGCAGTGTGCAAATCTTACCTGAGAATTTCATATTTGGATGTTGCGCTGCTATACTACTCTTCTTTTCAGCTTGAAAATGGTCCATAATGCGACTTTCCTTTAGTTGTGGGAGTCCTTTTCAATTTTTGTTTTTGGTGTCTGAAGAACATACCAATGTGTGTAGAATAGTGTGAACCTGAATAACTCCTCCATCTTCACTTTTGAGTGGGACTATAGGGTCGTCAAAAGGAGAACACACGAGCAGCGGCATTTGCAGCTTTAGGTTCCCTCACCAGATATGCTGTAGGTGTCCAGCTGGAGGCTTTCATGGAACAGGTGAATGCACCTCTATCGATTATTTCTAGTCCATCAGAAAATTGTTTTGTGTCATGTTAATTTCATGTTCTGTTTAACGAAATGAAAGTGTACTCGAGATGTAGACGGCATTTTATTGTTGATCTGAGTAAGGGATGCGGTGTTCTAGGAGTAAGCACGATACTTAGAGAAGGATCATGTATCATATGTGATGGCAGGTCCATGCAACATTACCACGCCTAGTACTACACATAAATGATGAAGCTCCTTCTGTGTGCCAAGCTTGTAAGGTAGGCTCAGCTTTCCCTTGAACTTACACTCATTTTTGGTTTTATATGTCCTAGCAGTTTCTAGGCATGAGATGATTAACCATAAAATGAGCAATACTCAACAAAGTTGAACTAATTTTCCTATGTTCCATTGTCTTGAAAGGATCTGTTCTTTGTTTCAATCCTAATAAAAGTTCATGAAGTGCAGGATACTCTGAAAAGGCTCGCTCCTCTGTTGCACGCACAAGATATAAGGGCATTGGTTAATCTGCAAACTTACATTCAGAGTGAAGAGTATGTGAAGAGCCCGTATCATTGTGCAATGAGCCTATTTGTTAAATGAACTGCTCCCAGATGGAAAGTAGCTGTTGATGTTTCATTTTGGGATGTTGGTTTGGGATATTGTATTTTAGATGTACGTCTTCCTAAACTGAGTTTGGAAAAAAACGAACTTGGAAAAATTGGCTTGTATGGCTTATACGATTGTGTTCTTGACACAGGCTGGAGTATGATGAGTTTGTTAGAGAATTCGCAAAGCATCTGGTGCTACAATTTGGTGACCGGGTGGACACCTATGTCACTGCAGCTATGCAGGCAAGTGTGCAGAAGTCAATCTCTGTGACAGCAAACAGCTTCTGCTGGATAGCCTTCGTACCTCGAAGTATTTTATGTCTTTTGTGCCTAGGGACTCGAAGTTGCAAGCTTTTGAAATGGGATTTCGTGCCAGGTTCCACGATCTTGGAAGAGTAAAATGGTGGAATGTCTGAAGTTCTCATTTTGTGTCCTACTTATCTGGTTATCGTGGAACATCAAGATAGATCTCAGATTGCTGGTAGTGGCATTTTGCAGGCTTTCGAAAGCCCGTGGCCTTTGATTCAAGCAAATGCAGTATACTTTGCTGGGTGTATGCTCTCGGAAATAAGTGACTCGAGACCGTTGGCTATCTACCTACCTCAGGTATCCTCTTTTTTTAAGCATGTTCATGTTCAGTTACTGTTCATCTTGTGATTGTACGTGCAAACATTCAACGGGTTCAGTAGTTGTTGATTCATTACCATTTTGGCTGGAACAGGTAACCGGGGCACTAGTGCGAATGACAGCCTCAGCTCCGAGCGCGGTGGTCAGAGCTAAGTCCGCTTTGGCTTTGAGTTTATTACTTGATGAAATGAAGTCGTGAACCATCTGAGACACCATTTTCAAGTACTGTTAAATATCGCAATGTATGTATAATAACTCAGAGTGATCCATGTGTTTCATCCGCCATTGAAGCTGTAATCCATTTCGGAATAGCCTTTTTAGATTACACTTCTTTTTTCTTCGGTTGCTATGTCCAGTTAGACGTTATCTAAAATCTTATGAAAATAATTCAAATTTGTGAGAGTCAAGGTTTCAGATTGCGAAAGCACTGGACCCATACTACAAGTTGAGAGTGACTACTAAGAGAACATATAAGCTATTCTTTTTCAATACACATTTTCTTTGTGAGATTAACTGCCGGAAGCAATTGATGAGAATGCTTGAATCCCATACCATATTTTCGCATATGTGCAATTTGCTTCTTAGGATTGGTTGGCGTCGAGTTTGTTCCTATTAATGAAGTTATAATGATTCGAGATGTCCATGGAACTACACTTAAATGAGCGGGAGATGTAGGCGAGTTCAAAATGTGGAAAGTGCAAAACTGTTCAACGTTATGTAGAATGCTCCAGCAGAAAATAATAATAATAACAATAATAATAATCCAGAGATTCCAATTATCAATCTGTTCCCAATGAGAGGTCCACAATTGGTTAATAATTTAATTTTAAATGGATCTAGTGGGAAAAACATATTTGTCTCTAAATACAGAAAACTTCCATCGTGCACGTCAGTTTTATATGTGCCTTAGACGTCTCATTTATAATGGGAATCTTAGAGATGAAGGATTTCTACGTGGAGATTACCCAAGCGTGATGGTAATAGACCGGGGAGATGTGGGTTTCTGTGAGACTTCCTCATCCTGAAGATTTCTTCTGTGAAGCGTTCAGGTGTAGATCACATCACTTTTCTCCTTGCAACATTTAAGGTTTATATGTAAATATGCATGCAGATAGGTCTAATGCTTTACAATTTTGTGGTTTATGCCTACAGCGATATAGGTGACAGTTTTCTTTTAGAAACATTCAACCTTTGCCGAAACTTCCTTGTTCTGTTAATTTTTGCAATTTCACGTCTACTGTTATTCTATTGGTCTAAATAATAGAATCACACTTTCTGCCAAGCCATTAATTATTTTCATTCTATTAACTCAACCACAGTGTCATTCTCGTTTAGCCCACTACAAAAACTTAAAAGAATGTGAAATATACACTCGGTTTCAATTATTAAATGTAAAAAATCATACAGTGATCTTGAAGGTAACACAATTGTAAGACGTATCAAAAAAGTGATTGGACTGCTAATTAGATCATCTATTTAGGATGCTCAGACACTTCTTGATGCAAGCAAGCGACCTCACTCCTTTTTGGCAACTTTGCCCACTACACTACGTGTGTGCATGGTTTCATTGCTCGACTTCGGTTTTGATAAAAGCTTCCAATTCAAGTAAACCTGGAAATGTTCCAGGCAAAATGTAACACAAGTAAATCTACAAAGATTTAACATATAAGAAAAAGGCTCTAAGAAAAAATGAACATGCTAAGTTGTTCAATCTAAGTCGTTATTGTTCAGAATACCCGTAATGTCAACTTCATTCGTTGACCCCACGGCTGGCAACCTCGAAGTATACATATGTCCCATTTTGATGCGCTTAGTTTCCAGGTACCGTCGGTTTTCTTTTGTCACCGGAGAGAATATCGACCTGCGCTCGTTGACCCGAATCCCAAGCTCCTTCAGAGCCGTTACCTTGGCAGGATTGTTACTGAGTAATGTGATGGTCTTGATCCCCAAGTCTTGCAATATCTGCTAAGACATACATGTTCAGCACAATCAAATCAGTAACTTCTGTGTTGTGTCCAAACGCAACCCAAGCAAACTTTTTCTCTCACAGCCCGATCATGCAAAAATAGAAAACTTCTGACTGGTTAAGTTCGCAATTGCTCCACCAGAAGAATTACTTTGTTTCTCGAACATGTTTTGTGGTTTGTGTCCGACCAACAACAGAGTGGAACATGTCACGGATCTCATACAACTGAACCAGCAAATGAGGAGTGCGCAGCAATCGAATACCTGGGCACTGATACCATATTCCCGTGAATCAACAGGAAGTCCAAGTTGAAGGTTTGCCTCAACGGTGTCAGCGCCAGCGTCTTGCAAGTTGTAAGCCCTCATTTTATGGCCAAGCCCAATTCCCCGACCTTCATGCCCTCGCATGTAAACCACAACACCTCTGCCCATTTTCTTTATGAACGACAAAGAATCCGACAGTTGGCTACCACAATCACAACGGGTAGAACGAAACACGTCACCAGTCAAACATTCTGAATGTACTCTCACGTAAACTTCCAGCCCACTGCTTATATCGCCCTGCGCATTTACATGACAATTGGGAGACCGTGAGCTTCTTTCATACAATGCTTCAGGGCGAAATGCTCCAAGCACTTCATAGATCTGCTGTATCGCCCCAAGATAGCAGAAAATCTCATCATAACTATCCAAGTTTACGAACCGTCCTCGCACCATCCTCAGGACAATCATAATAAACCAGAGTCCAGTCCGCCATCGGTGCGCTCTGCGTCAATCTGCAGCGTTCTAAAAAGAATTAGGGAGTGGCAACAGGTTCCATGAAAATACCTCAACAATAGCAGCATGTTCCAAGCCATCATTTGACTCGAAACTGTAAACCTGAAACTCCCCATACTCGGTGGGAAGTCTTGCCTGCGCTGTCCGTTTGACCAAAACCTTTTTATTGCGTTCCTCTTTGTATCTGCAAGAAGCAAACCACTTATCAGCGATCGAAAACATGCACAAACCAGTTTCGTGAACTGTTGTTGCGTTCTCAATGTGTTTGAAGGACTGCCGTGCGTTTCAAAGACACCATTTCTAATAAAGAAATAATATCTAGACATCTCGAAACAAAACGTTGAACTACATGAAGCCTGGTAAATTTACAACATTCCAAAACCTAAACGAAGACAACTCACTTCAGTAAGTTTATAAAACCTCTTAGCTTATACTCAAGTTTTGCAGAGTGCGGAAGGCTGGAACATGGGAAAGAACAATACTTGACAAGTTCGTCGATTGATATTAAAAGTATTCCATGCTCCTTTGCAAACTTCTTTAAATATGGAAGGCGAGCCATTGAGCCATCGTCATCATTGACAACCTCACATAAGACTCCTGCAGGAGGTAACCCAGCTAGTACCGCCAAATCTAGTGCTGCTTCGGTGTGCCCACGCCTGGTCAACACCCCACCTACAGATGGACACCAAACCATCAACAATATAAGTATCGCCACCGATCTAATCACTGTAACAAATCGTGAGAACAAGTGCAAGCTCAATGTTCTCCAGAAGAATCAGGAAGAAATCCTGTAGCAGGATACTACCATGAGCAGATCCCCCACTCACTGTGAGTTTCATTGCCTATGAGCTAAATAATGTATAAGGAAACAATCACTATGGCCAACAAGAATCTCACTTGAAACTGTGACCGCCCCTATTTTAGAGGACAATCCGGCTTTTCTGTATTCACGAAAACTGAAGCAATACCAAATCTGAGAGGTTCACGCCAATGTGAACTAGATCACTACCGATTATGATTACCTGAATTGAGCCATTGAGAACATCCCTTGATTTTATTCCCCACAGCGAACGATGATTTGACCAAAAAGAGGTAAAAAAGGATGATACATTGCGATCAAGTGAATCACTAAGAAATACAAACAAAATTACATTTGTCACTGACTTAGTCCACCAATGGTGAATTGTTCTCACGATTTGCAATTAAGACTGCAAGCGTAAATGCCACCTGTTTGCGTACGACTATAACATCAAAAATTCTTACCCTCTCGACATCTAAGAGGAAAGATGTGACCAGGTGCAACAAAATCTCCACGAGTCGAATCTGGTGATGCTAATGCTCTTATCGTCTGGCATCTATCTGATGCTGACACACCTGTTGTCGTCCCATGCTTTGCGTCCTGTTTGGAGCAAATCATTAGAATTAAAACATATTAACCACAGCTATTGTCTATACTACACTACCGCGTAACAAACGAATTCACAGTGCCATTAGCTTGTAACCTTCATTAAACAATCCAGTTACGCTAGATAAACAAAAACAAAAGACAGAGAATGACGCTAATCTAAATCCTGGCTGACACACTTCTTCAAAAAGTGGCATACGGAAACAATGTTAGAACCAAACATTTGTAGTGCTAAAAGATAATGCTACACTACTCTCAAGACCTGACAGCAATAGCCAACTTCATGGGAAACAAGCTGCATGACGCAAGCATTAAAATGTAAATATATATATATATATATATATATATATATATATATATATATATATATATATATATATATATATATATATATATATATATATATATATATATATATATATATATCAAAATCCCCAATCAAGAAGCTACATTATGCGCCTCACATTAACGCACACTTTGTGGTACCGCTGACTCCTGGCCACGTCTAATCCAGAACTCTCTTCTTTTTTTCACATTTCTCAAAAAATGCTTCGCATATCAGGGTGTCTATAAGTTAAGTACCACAGTCCAGGTGAAAGCAGTCCTCATAATCTCGCCATTCTCATCTTGAGGGACCATCAGTGGGAGACCAAGTCGATCCAAATCCTCGCCTTTCATAGACACACATACAATGCCGGTACTGTACCGCACCAAGAACGCCATTGCTTGCGGCGTTACAAGTGAGCCTGCCATAATGAGGTCCCCTTCGTTCTCTCTATTCTCATCGTCCACGACCAACACAAACTGGAGAAAAATAAATAAATTACATAAACGAAAGAATTCTGTCGATAGCACAAGATAATTCTGAGCAAGCCAGCTATCTGTTATCTGTATAAAATGGTGTGGGACAGAATTTACAATTCGAGTAGTGCTGGAATTCAAAGAAATTTATCACAATCAACATCAGCTAAAACAATAGGTTGCCAAATTGATGTCAACCAGACTTGTGTACCTTGCCTGCCTTGATGGCATCCACTGCTTCTTCAATTGTTGCAAATCCTTCCCCAATGTCAACAGACTTTTCGTTTGCATCAATTTCTAGGAATTGATCGACAGTGGGAACGCCGTTTTGTGCTAATGAGGGCCTCTCCTGGAGGTCCTTAGAATCGAGTCCGACTACAGCTCTGTTATTGATATCGGCGCGACTAACATGTGCACCATTCATACCCTTACATCTTACAGTGGACCTAGAACTGCCTCCCGTCACTTTATAACCTTCGTTGTGCAGTGCTGAACCGGTTAGAGCTGCAAGTACGTTCTCAGTAGTTTGAGCTTTCAGCAGTCCCAACCTCCCGCTTCTCAGATTGGGTCTAAAGCTGCTGCACACCAGTTCGCAATAACAATCAGTTACACGTGTTCTTAACTCCCCTGATAACAAATGAAGGCTCGTGACAATACGTACACAACAAATTGCGGTAATGTCCTATCCGAGAGATTACTTAAATTGTAACAAAGACGGAATAAATGAATCTCGTTGTAAATAGAAGAAAATTAAGAATTAACTACAAGCTCACAGGGAAAAGCGCTCCCAGTGGTAGGGACAGCCCTAAGCCCTAAACCCTAAACCCTGTTGTGGATGTGCGTTACTAAGACAGATGAGCATGTACCAGGACGGAAAGGCGAGTGAACGGTGAGCAAGTACCAGGAAGTGGTGCCAGTGCTGCTGCTGATACTGCTGCTGACCACAGAAGAACCATGAACGAGAAGAGGAGCACTCCATTCATGCACCAGATCAGTGGAGAGGAAAGACATGGCGAGTGGCGGGTTCGCATATACCAAAACGAGCGAGTATTCAGGAGCGAGAAAATTTAGCAGAGCAGAAAAACCAAGGGGAAGAGATATGATGAAGAGGAGGAGCGGGATCCAACAGCGGACAGCAAGTTGTGAGTTAGGAATCAAGACAGAGAGAGAGAATTACAAACGGGAAGGATTTCATGACATAGTTTAGGGAGAGAGAGAGAGAGAGAGAGAGAGAGGTTGCAGGAATCGCCCTTGGGCTCCTCCGTGGAAGGAAAAGGAGAGAGGACGGAGCAAGAGTCGAGAGTTTGGAGAATGGAAAAGGTGCAGCGAAGAAGGAACGGGGGATGTCGTTACTGCGGACTGGTGGTTGTCATCTAAACGACCTGAGCATTGCTTTAGGGGCTATTCTCAGTCGTCAGTGGTGGTTGCGTAGAAGTAGATTGGAGAGCGCGAGAAATAGAGGACAACAGTGCGAAGTGCGGAGGGAGAATAGGGGTAAGAGCGAGGGAGGGAGGGAGGGAGGGAGGGATGGCGATGCTGACTTGCAACCCGGGGGGGGGCTTTGTGGATGACAATATCCTGCGGTGGGGGGTCGCTGCAAAAAGCAAGCAAAAGTCCACAAGCAGAAGAAGGCGAAGAAGACGAAGAGCACAGTAGTCTCGCCCCCGCGAAGCTGAGGGAGAAGTTCAATCCCCCCCCCCCGGCCTCGCTCGGCCACGTCGGATTGACCTCCGCCCACCCACCGTAGCAACAGCCGCCCTCGCACATTCGTTGGCACCCCGCGACCCCTTCCCATCTCATCCAATTGACTTCCTTATCATCCATCCTTACTCTGTGTGTGAGCCCCACTTCCCTTCATCCCCTCCCGAACCCCTTTTCACGTTTCCTTTTTTTCCGTTTCACTTTTCTTTCCATCGGTAGGGTCTGGTTTCAGTCACATCACAACCATGCCTCTGGCTCTAGTCTTTCTCAACAAACCCATTAAACAACATTCATACCTTTTTCGCTCAACTCCCCTTTATCATTAACAATACCAAAATACTTTAAGGATTGTGTGTTTTGGGGATTGAAATATTCCACTTTCAGTGATTAGCACTTCAGGCGTGATCTGTTCTGGGTTATTACATTGCTCACAAATGTATGTCTGTGATAAAATGTTTTACTTACAAGACACTGTTGCCAGAGTTTGTATAAACTTGGGTTTTGTCCCACATTGTATGCATGTGATTTGGAAGTAGTGATTTTAGGTCTGCATTCACATGATGTATTGAGGAGGGATGAAAGGCCCATTGGATAGATTGCAAGGGTAGCATAAGTTAACTCTCCCCTCTCCTTAATGCCAACTGCCTGTGTAATATTGTTTCCAAGCTGACCCTGCTTGACACTGTCAGCATTGTAATGGAATAAGCATCCCCACCCATAAGATGGTATTAGGATGTGGTGCCACCCCTAATTATCATACCCCATCACCAGAGAGGTCAAGGATCTTTGAAGCACAAATTTGCAGCTTTGATGGGGCCCCCACTATGGAAATGACTGCAACCAATTCTAGAGGCAACCTATTTTTATATGTGCCTATTATGATTGATCCTTTTGTACCTCAAATCCTTCTGGAGCAATCTTCATGGAAAATGTGCCTTCCACAATGGGACAGTCAAAGCAGGAGAGTGAACAGTAGAAGGAAAAAAAAAGGAAAAAAAAAAAAGAAATGGAGTTTACTGGGTGCTACAATTACTGTGAGCATAACATGAGTGAAATTGTGAGAAATATAACTTTTCAGACAAGGAGGAGGTTGATTTTGTTAAGGCTAATGAGAATCATTTTTTGAGCAGGGTTTATTCCAGGCACTATACGTGAGCTGTTTTTGGGTCCTCAATTTTAGGAAGCAATAAAAGAAACACCACTTGAAGAGGATCAGACCACTAGGAATATTTAGAATTTTCCTTTGAGTTCCATTCTTCTCCTTTGATGGTTTGACCCTTGAAAAACATCTGAAATCGTCTCAGTTGGAGGGAAGAAAAAAAAAAGGTATCTTGGATCTGCGAGGTCATAAACTAGAATGAAATAAAATAACATGTGAGTAATCATCGTCTTACGTACAATAAGAGCATTGATTAGATTTCTTTTTAATCACAAAATCCCACTAATCAATCATCATGACATGTGTGATGCTTACCTCATCATGGAGACATTTTTTTGTAAATCATTATATTTAATTTGAAGCTTCTTTAATTCTTTAATTTTTTGGACCATGTCCACTGATTTTTTTAAATTTTTGATGATTCACATAATAATATTAAACTCTTTAGAGAAGCTGGCTATTGTATAAAGAAAGATCTAAAACCTGATTCATACAGGCCCTGAAATTTACAAAAGTCACTGTTACAAACTGTGTTAAATCTACAGCTTTTATGTCAATAGTGCATGTAATATAACTATTAAGAGTTTATAACAATTCTAGAATAAAATATTTGCTAGTATCATTTATACACCTTCTTCTTCTTTTTCTTTTTTGTTTGTGATTGTGTTAATTCATTAAACATTTTATCTTCATTTGGATTCCACTACAAAAACAATTACATGTAAATATATACACACACTCATATGGTGGTAGCTTCATGCCTTTTATTAGGGGAGGTCAAACTTAATAATCCCCAAATCATATGAGCTCTTGTGTCTTTATAGATCAGTGATATAGGTTTAATATAAGCCCTTGCCAATGTGAGAGACTAATTCATATCACCTCATGAATGTAGCTGATATATCCCTCTTCATTTTAAACATTTTGAATTTTAAATATAAAAATTTGTAATTACTCACCAAAGAAATATATGAGATGTGTTTTAACTTTTTTTTTTTTTTTTTTTTTTTCCATTTTGTTCCTTCCTCTTCAAGTAATATAAAGCATGGTAGAGATGAGCCCTATCTCTCCAACTCTCCTAGACATCTTCTCAGTAGAGAGTGTGTTTGTACTTCTGTTTGCGTGGTTTTGTTTGTTTGTTTGGGTATGAGTTACATTCTTGGTCCACAACACAACACCACAAAACTATTGATAATCTCACACCACAAAACTATTGATAATCTCACACCACATAACATCCAAGATTGCCGCGCAAGATTGTTGGAGGCAACGGAGCAGCATTGACGGACGGATGGACGAACGTTCAGCTTGATCGACGAATGCGATTCCGTCGCCGCTCCTCTGTCGACTCGCGCCTTCTGATCTCCGCTTCTCGTCCCCCAACTCTTTATGTTGCATGTTCATGACTTTGCCTTTTTCGCTGCCTGCCTGCCTGCCGACTTTACCCGTGACACGCCATCTCCCACGTCAGCTTCTCTCGTGGCATGCTGTTACTGGTGCGAGCTGGCCAGCAGAGCACCATTCATTCGCTCCCATACTCGTTCCACTCACGTACCCCTCGCTCCCTACCCCCTACCCTATCCTGTTTGTTCCCTAGGGGAGGAGCGATGAACGCTGTTATTTAATGGGATGGATGTTTCCCTGTCGACGTCACGCCTCATCCATGCCACGTTCGTCCATTCGTGCGGTGGCTTATCATATGGACGTTGTTGCTCCACCATTCCCTCAGGCAGGCAAGTGCACTGCAGTGCATCCTCACAAAGTGAAGGGGTGGGTTCCTTAGCATTGCCCAGGTTCACCTATTGGTTGGCAAACAAGGACCCACTTTTGTCAATGGCTTCCATTTGATCTTGTCTCTCTCGTTGTCTAATGTTTGAAAACCCCGACTTTTGCTTACTTTTCCTCATGCACAGTTCTAGTTACATTTAATGCATGTTGTGTTTTTTTAGCTTCCAAACCTTGATATGTGTCTTTGTGTATGTTTGGAACAAAAAAATAGTGTAAGTTAATATCTTCTAGATGATTGAAAGGTGGTGCATTCTTGTACTTGTTCTAAATTTTTTCAAATGCCAATTAAGAGTATTATCTGCATACATTTTTGAAATGAAATGCAAACATATGGAACTGACATATATAAAAGCTGTGTATCCTGGAATTGCAAAATATTTTATGAGGGTGCAAGGACAAGGACTGATTTTGAGATACAAGTTATAGTTCATGTATGTATGCATATACATATACATATATGTCTGTGCACGTTTATCAGTACATTTGTAACGTCTTGCTCAATGTTTTCAATTAATCTTAATCTTTGTAGTTGTATTTTGAATTTGTACGAATGTTTTGTTTGTACAAAAATATCTTAATTGTACAAATTCACAATCATTTGAATCATACATTTAAAGAGATTATTTCCACTTCTGATATTTGAATTGAAATTCTCTCCAAATTTCATTACTGTTAAAGAGCGTGGTCACATTCTTGCATTTAAAACATTGAATACATCCTGCATTCTCAAATTTTGAATTATTTCTTCCATAAATCAAAATAAAAAGAATACTTCATTTATTTTTCATCTTATACTTTGTTTATGTTTTCTTTCTCTAGTGATGTTGGGTCATAAATAAACCCCATTAAACCCCAATTAAGAATATGCAATGCAGAATATTGCATGAATTGAGGACCACTGTTAAGATATTGTGGAAGTGGATCATGGAATGTTGGCAAGACATTGTGGATTGTGCATCACAAGTTACAGTTAGGGCAATGGAGTAAGTAAGTAAGTAAATCACAAATCATGCACAAGCTTACTGGGGCATCAAGATATTCAACAAGATCCTAAAATGATACCCTTGTGTAATATTGTGGACATGCCAAATTTAGCAGGCTCCATGTATCAGTACATATTTAAATGGAGTCAGATCATAAAAAATCATATTCTAAACATTTCAATTTATTTACTTAGTAACTCTACTAATTAAATAATGTACTGTAACAATTAATACTTTGCATGTACATGTGAAACATATCTTTAAAATGATCACATGAAATATTGTGAAGCTTTGTGTAATTATTCTGAGTACATAAACTGTATGGCTAAATAGCATGTGAAATATATTCATGAATAAATGAATGTATAAATAAATATATAAATAAATGAAACATTCCATTCAATTTGATTTGTTTTCTCTTAAAAATATGATTTTGAATGTCTTAAGAGCAAATAAATATATAAATAAATGAATAAAATAAGAATATACGTTTCATAATTGGTTAAAATTAATGTGCATTTTACAGTTCGGGATGATTCAATTTACAAATTTATGTTTGTGTTTCTCAACTATTCCTTTGTCACAAAATTTGCCTCAGAGATGTAGAACTATTACCCAGTTTTCAAAATTCACGCATATTTTCATATCCAAAATAAATTTATATTTTGTTCGTCTCAAAAAAAAAAAACAACAACCACATGAAATGGATTGTTTTATAATCAATTTAAAGTCACAAAGCAGAAACCTAAAAATTAATAGTATGCAGCAGAGCGTCGATGATGGGTGGGCGTGTTTGTGCACAGAGCGTCGTCGATGGCCAGGATGGCGAGTTAAATTAGGGCATGTGCCACTTGTGCACCAGGCTTCACTCCATCTTCACCATGGCTACTCATCGCTGCACGGGACCCACCGCTGTGCAAAAGGAGACGCTGCAGCCCGAGGGACAGCCCCCCATCTTCATGTCAATTCCTTTCTTCTGCTTCCTCTACTACGTCGACGTCTTCTTCTTTCCTGAGGATTGCGGATCTCGTCTGATTGCTCTGCACGAGGGAGCCTGCATTGTTGCTCTTCATTAACCCTCGTCCTCATACCCTTCCCTACAATTTTCTCCTGATGCTTAGGATTCCCCATTCCTTTTCTTCCTTTTGTGCTTCTCACTCGCACAATTTTGCGTGTCGGAACTGCCGTGGGTGAGTAATGTGAATTTCTTTCTGAATTCAAATTTGTCAATGCACCAGTATCTGAAAAGGCGCTAGATTTTCGGTGCTTGAACTTGCAGTCTCAGTGCGGGTGCAATCTGATTTGTAGTGATGAGTGTGGAAGGGGAATGGGTAACATGTGCTTTTGGCATGCTTGTCTTATATAACCTGTCACTTAGATTTCAGAAGCCTAGCTCAGCCAGAATAAGCACGCGTAACTCAGTTGCTCAGCTACATACCATGGTTTAACCTTTGATTCTGAGCGTAGTTATTCCAAAGATTTGTTGTTACGCTGAACAGAGGAAGACCTGTGGGTGGGAATTGAATCTGCTGAATTAAATGTACACAAATCCTATAGAGTTTGCAGCTAAAGAATTCGAAGTACAGACAAGTAGACCATATAAAACCTAAACCTGGCCAGTGTTTTGGGTCTTTTCAACCCAATTAGACTTTGAGTGGAAGAATGTCCTATTGTGCTATGGCAGTTCCAGAGACCAACTGATATGTCTCATTGTATTCTACCTGTTACAGCAGATCAACAGCTTGCGAGGGTGCATCAACTTGTGCCGAATTAGGTCAAAACTGCATCGCCTAATTCTTGGAGGTAGCTGTTGTAGATGGTAGTAAAGAATCTCTGTCTGCAACATAAAATAGGAAGCTGCGGGCATGGCAATCTCTTGCTTTGCACTTTCTTCAAATTTCTCCCTCGCATCAAGCCGTCTTCTTCACAGTAAACAATCAGTAGTTCGGAGGAGTTCTGCGTCCGTGGTGGTGGTGAGGTCGTTGAAAGATGAGCAAGAAGCTCCGTCGACTTCAACTCGCATTGATTTCGACGGCAAATTGCCCTTATTCGGTATGATCTTTTTCTAAAATCTTAGAAAGACTACCTTTCACTGTCAATGGAAGTTGTTAGATAGGTAAGATTTTGAACAGCGTCCTTTTGGTCCTGTTGGAATGTGAATGCAAGCAGTTGAATGGGATAAGTGTCTGATCATTCATTTCATGTGGCTGGAAGTTTGTTTGTGATAAAATTCTAGCTTTCAGCTTTCGAATTACTGATGATTAGATCATTTCGGAGTGGGCCATCTATTATGGCATTAGGAGCCATGATCACCATATTATTCCATTATGCAATAGATGTTGTTAAAGATCATCAGTGGCAACAACCCTTCTGACAATGGACGTCGTCGCCGCCATGATGCTAGCTCCCTCGGTATTCCGCCGGAGATTTATTCTGGGCACAATCACGGGTACGGCACTTGCATTGGGGGCTGACTTTCTTGGGAGCACCAGTGCAATCCTGTCATTGAATCCAGAACTTTTTCGTGGTTTACGAGTGGACGTTCTGTATCCAATTGGAGGTTATAAGCGCTGTTTAGAAACCAGCCAGGGATTTGGTAAGTTGCACTTTGGTGATTCCGTCTTACATATGCATCGTAGACTGAAACTAGACTTGTGAGTTTTGAAGCATGTGGTTGACTATCTAGTTTTTATTATTTCTAAAAAAGAAACGGCTGAAGTTTGGCATACCTTTTCTTGGTAGATAGACATGTTCATAAACTATGGCAGGATTTGATTGTTTTACGTAACCATGGTTAGAAGCCAGGATCACGTGCCATGGATCATCTGGTTGGGAAATGAAAGTGCTAGTTCGGAACATTGTTATATTGGCTCGATTTAAGATTCCAATCCTTGTTCGGTGATAGCTGATGGCGGATGCCCTCAAAGTTCTCCAGGATTGGAGAACTACTGCAATCCTTGAAAAGTTGAAGAACTGTGCTTTGTAACAGAGTTCATCTTTCCAAAGACATGGGTTGGAGATCAAACGTTGTTGTATAGGGCAGTGCAAAGAGGCGAGCGTGAGCGCTCTCTCGATCTTCCTCCCATTCGACAACCAAGTAAACGAAGACTTACGGAGCCCATAGTTGCCTTCGGGCCTCCAGGTACCCTAGGCGAGTTGAATGTCAGCGTTGTCGTTGCACCTGTGGCGCAGGGGTTCACGTAAGCTCTCCAAATATTTCAGAATTTCTTTTACAAGAAAAAACTTCATGATGGGCGGGAGGGTGCGAGGGAGGGATAATATAATTAATCGATTCGATAATTGTTTGGCTCAGACTTGAAAAACTTGGCAACCCTACGGAGGCAGGCATAACTATTTTGAAGCGTTCAATTGCTCCCGAAGGTTCGAACAAGGTGGCCGAGTTGATTGATGCTGCAGCCAGACGAGACGACGCGGGGGTAACTTATTATACCTTAGAATATACAGTGCGAGGACCCTCATTCTATAGACATAATGTAGCAGTGTATGCTGTGAGTAGTTCGGCGGAACTCTATACCTTAAGTGCCCAGTCACCAGAAACCATGTGGTCAGATGTCAGAAACCAGTTCAAGATTATTAGCGACTCCTTCAGATTGGTTAGTTCAATCTGAGGTGCTGAGTAATTTGAGCGATTTGAATTTACCTGGTGTAGAGTCGTAACATTTACTTCAATGGGTCTGCAGATCCAGTCTTTTTAACACCTTCTTAACGTAGTCATTTTTCACGGAAGACCCGTGATGTCTACTCCTGTGAATGTCATGTAACACTACAAGTTTCTGGATTATTTACTCAAAATACAAGCCTAATGAAAAGAATTATCAGCATCTTTACGACCGAACCACCGAATATTTTCTTCTTAATGGGGCCAGATTAGTGTGTTTGTTAGAGAGCATCTTGAGGTGCTGTGGACATCATAAATTGCAAAGCCTCTTCGGAGTAAATATTTATTGGTATTGTCAAGGGTTCATTTGGTAGTGTGGAACGTGGTTTAGGAATAACTACACCTAAAGATTTTTCTGGAATAATCACACAGTCCATACAGTGTTGCAAAAATGACGCAGTAGATTGTGGCAAACAATGCAGTGGACTGAAGCAAGCCCTTGTGTCTTATCCATGAGAAAACATTTGTGGGGCAAATGAATTACTGAAACACACCCAGAGCACAGCCTTCGAATCCAGCTCTACGCTATTTGTGTATTCACCTAAGGTGTGGTTGTTCTGAGCGAGATCGAGCAACCAAAGAAGAAAAACCTGAACTAACAGTGATTCGCCTCAACAAACATTTATGGGGAGGATTGTTTGTTGAGCAGTTTTTGAAAATGCCGTCGAATGAAGCAGTGGCCCACTCCACCACCTCTTCATCCACGATGACGAATGATTTCCCCCGCAGACATGACGATACTCATGGTGACTTTCTTTCTCCCGCTTAACACTCTTCCTAGATCCATCGCCCCCACAGCACTTGTAGCTCCTTACCATTTCTTTCGCCATCGCCATCACGCTCTTGGTCCTCGTTCCTTGCCGGCATCTTACCGTCCGCCTTCCCGTGCAAGCTCGCCCTTGCCCATTGCATTCCTTGCAGTCACGTAAGTCTTTCTCACGCTGCTCATTTTCTCGTCTCTCTCACCGGCATTTCTCCTTGATTCCTCCCTTGTCTGCCTGTAATGCATCCTCCTCTTTCAGAACTATTGTTGTCCGCTCTTCATCTGCCTTCGGCCCGCCGGTTTTCCTACACCCAACTCACCTTCACTTCCACTGTCAAACCCTCTTGGTGCTTTCTTTTACAGTGCCCCATTCTTAATTAGGGTTCTGGGATGCTTACCATCTCTGCATTTAGGATCTGTTCCAGCCTCATGAACGGGCGGTAATTCACTCACCTAACTAGTTATCCTAAGACCTACTATCAGCTTTAAATTATTTGTCCAAATGTCGGTGTTGGTGTCTGGATTTAAAGTCAATGACCAAGGTGGAAATGTGGGGTTTGTCGAGGTCCGTGTGGAGGTTTAACACTTCTCAAGTAGCGATCAGTTATGCTAGTGCCTCAAAGCCTTCTTTCAATACGTTCTCAGAGCGAGGAATTTCGTCGTGAAATAGTTTTAACAAATATACAACAGTTGTATGTGAGTTGAACATATCGAGAGAGTCCAAAATCTAAGGATCATATTAACTGCAAATAAGATCTGTAATGGGGCTTGGTTGCTTCGAAACATCAGCTTGTGTGCTGAGAAAGTGTTTTCATTCTTACATCATAATTCGGACTCATCTGAGATTCAAATTCATCAGAATTGACTTTGGTGAACACATCGATGATGCTGACCGTTGAGGCTCTTTTTTAAGCTATGACATTCTTTCAGCGCAATTAAGTGGAGTTGCTACTGCAAATTTATGTTTTCTTTGACGTGGTCTGTATAGGAGGAGTAACAAGCGTACTTGTGCTGTTGGATTTTAATTTAATGCATGAGCAATAGCAGTTGGAAATATACTATGCAGTTGCTGTTACCGTCAGAACTGTGGAAGTAATTTTGTTGCATCGGTTGGCTATGTACCTTGCAGGGCTAAACGCAGGCCGACACATTGAATTGCACCCATGGGAATTCTTTTGTTCTGAGTTCTCATGTTTTAGGAATTACCGTATCATAAATTAATGATCAGTTTGTTTGCCAGAATGTTTCGATTTTAAGAATAATGTGTAGAAATGCGGGCTCCTTGGGCAAAGCTTGGGGCTTTGTCCCGTAAGATAAACCCTTTAGGGACATCAAACCAAAACCAGTTTGTGGTAGATATAGCACGGAATAATAATGGGGACCTCAATGGAAATGGACTTGGAGCACATTCAGTTTCAGCTGCGCTTGGTGAGACATCTCCGCGACCTACAGAGTGGAGTTTCCGGAGATGCGGTCAGAATGGATGTCGATCTACTAATCACTGTGAATCAGCCGGTAAGCCCTTCATCGCTGTCCTTGTGTAGCGGTAGATCTGACATAAGGGTCTGTGTAGCCTGTCTTACTTGCTTGAATCAGAAAGGTCTAAATATTGTTTAGGGTATACGTGAAATGTATGAAAGATAGTTTTCTTTTGTTGTTGTAGCTAAACAATCATTTCATTTGAAAAGAAATGTTTACATAGAGAAGTGCTTATATAGAAAGTGTGATTGCCTTGTCATAGGCACCAACATTTCAGCGTCCCTGAAAAATGGTGACGTTAGAATCGATGTCGGTGGAGATGAGGGCTCCGACCTTTTGGGGGAGATTGTCATGACGGGTAATTTAACTCCTCAAAGTACGGGATTGTCGTCTAAACTAACTCCGCCTGTTGAAGTCTCGGCAAGGCTGACCACAAAGACATTTTTCTGGGGTCTACGTCATCTCCACCTCGATGACATAGTTGCGGTGAGCATGATTTGATCAAGGTTTTCTCAATCATAAATGGTTTTGTTGGTTCATGCTTTCAACGTTTGTTTCAAAGAATGATATAAAGCTAAGGGTACCTGTGGTCATGTAGAGCGACTCTAGGTAGTTTTCTGTTTTACAGTTCAGTTTATTTTAATTTTAGTAAGAGTCTTAAGAGTATTATGTTAAGAAATAGTTAGTTGGCGTAGTGCTTTTTATGAAGAACTAAAATTTCTGTGTAATGTGCATCGGCCTGGAAAAGTGGTGTTTATGCTGAACAACTGTATTGATGGATGAAGGTGGAATGCCCTGATAGGTGTCATGTCACGATGGCAGTGAGCGCTTTACGATACATTCTTATCCTCTCATGCGCACACGGTGGGTGCCCAGTTCATTTGGCAAACCCCGCAGACGCCGGAAGGACGTGCATCTTATAGCACCTAGTCAAGAAGAAGCTGCTAATTGGGTCAATGTCTTTGGTAATTACTGTCATGTGAATGTTAATAAGCTTCCTTTAAAGGAGCAGAAAGGGGCTTCTGTGAAGGAGAAGGTTGTGGTGGATGTGGCAATAAAGAGCAAGCCAGGACCTGTTATGCTCGTTGTCCTCAATCCTCGTTCGGGTAGAGGGAAGGCCAGCAAGGTCTTTCGAACCAGAGTGCAGCCAATCTTGGAGGTACCAGTGTTATTCTATTTTTATCATTTCACCCCTTGTAGCTCAATGAAATAAGGATTTTTCAGAATTTTACATTGACGAATCTATCCTGGAATGTAGTGGATTTAATGATCATAACATTTACCTGCTAGCTATGAAACTTTGCATCTGCCAACGGATATTTAATTATGATGATTTGAATTTAATTTTTTGTTGGTCTCAAGTTCTGCATTTTGCATTTGACCATGGTTTGGACAGTCACAGCACGGCTTTGACCAGTTTACATCTTTTATCTGAGATGCCCATTTTTTGATAGTTGGCAGGGTTGACACTTACAGTGGTGGAGACGACACATGCTCGTCATGCTCAACAGCTAGCTGCTAGCATTAATCTTTCTACCTGTGCTGACGGTATGATAGTTTGTTCTATTCCAAAGACATTACTTCAGCAGTGAAACGTTTGTTCAGTTTTCAATAACTCGTGGATTTGTTTATGATGGGAAACGTTTCTTGTGGAGAGTGCTCTGCATACTACTTCATGAGTTTTCATTGCAGTTTAATCAGAGCTTCTATTCGCTGCGGCTGGTCCCAAGCGTTCTTCGTTCTACACTTGTAGATTATTGGAGCTGATGCTTAGACTTTCCATTTTACCCTCGACATCGGATTATGTGAGGTGATAGTGGAGATGGGTGTCTTACTAATATCTCAATTTAATGACAGGTATCATTTGTGTGGGTGGTGACGGCATACTCAATGAGGTAATCCGGTTTGTGCATTTTGAATCAAGGCAGCAATGTTCTAGCTCATACCTTTATGTAGTTGTTTTGGGCAAGTTTGAGGAAAATAAAGACAGACAGCACGTATTGTGAACTTGAGGGTGGTGAAAATTCTCAGCTTTAAAATCTCCACCCCCGCCTTCCCCCGAGAGGACGGAAGGTGGTTGAACACTTTAATGAAACAAAATAACATATTTTACCTTGTCATGTTTGCCCTATTAAGTTACACCTAAGATGAGTTGTCGATGTTTGTTTGCGAACTCGGAGTAATCGATGACCTTGTATGATTATCGCATACTGAGTCAATAACTGTGCACTTGTAGATTATTGGATGTGTTTCAGAATATACTCTTCTACATTTGTTTCCTTAAAATCAATTCAGTTTGTTTAACTGACATCAACAGCTAGTTTTTTGTGGGGTATGACTGTTGGCCTTCTTTTTGTCGCTACCATGCGGTTAATACAGTGTGAAGATGTTCTTCATCAATATTGTTTGCCCTAGTGTCTTGTTGACTAGTCAATGTAGAATTTTGAAGCATTTGTCTCGTATGATCTAGTTCACTACCGTTTCTTCTTTTAAATATGTGAACAGTTAATGAGTTTTCAAACCGACGCGCTGTGCAGGTTTTGAATGGATTACTGAGCAGAGATGATTCAGAATTTGCTAGGACCATTCCTCTTGGCATAATTCCCGCAGGCTCTGATAACTCACTTGTGTGGACTGTTTTTGGCATCCGAGATCCTACTACTGCTGCAGTTGCAATTGTCAAGGTAAATCTTGGGGTCTAAAACTTTTTTCCCCTAGTGGCTTTGTAGTTATAGTAGGGCGCAGGTACTAAAAAGTGCCATCTTTTTTGGTGTCATTAACTTGCGTGGTATCCAAGGTGACGCAAAGTTCACATCGTATTTTAATATCGAAGTACACTTAACTAAATATTATATTCAAGTTAAGTACTCACATGTCTATTTATATGTATCTAATTCGTTATAGCAGATAATTTAATGATCACTTTAAATGATAATTTATGAACGTGATCTTTTTACAGGGAGGCACAATTTCTACTGATGTAATTGGGGTGGAGTGGCATAAGACTGGTGCAGTGCATTACGGTCTTACAGTAGCGTATTATGGTTTCATGAGTGATGGTAAGCATCATATGGTCAAGTTATTTTATTTTCTAAAATTTTGTTAGGTTCAGATGCGTTAGTTTAGCTGTTTCGAGATATTAAGTGCACCTTTCTTTAAAATACAGCTACAGCTATAGATGCAACTCAAAAGGAAAACTTTTACCTCAAATGTTGGGAAGTACGACTTGCTTAGAAAGAGTGGACGACTTGAGGCAGGTTTCTCACGCTAGATGATATGATGGACCTGTAGGAAGGGATGAAAGTAAACTAATGCCGGATTTGTTTTCATTATCGTCTCTTAATCGAAAGAGCACTACGATTTGTGTCAGAAAGTTAATGGTCTAGAAGCGCCCGCGTATGTGTTATTAGGCTATTTCCTTGCACTTTGTATTTGAAGTTACTACTTTGTATTTCATACATACAACCGGCACTATCTCTAATTGCTGGCTCCCTTTTGAAATTCGGATTTGTGCAGTGCTTGAATTATCTGGCAGATATCAGCGTCGATTTGGGCCATTGCGTTACTTTGTGGCAGGGGCCTTGAGGTTACTTTGCCTCTCTCATTATCAATGCGAAGTACACTATCTCCCCGCTCCTCTAGAGCTGGAATCAGTGCATGTTGACCATGCGGCGGACAGTGTTGATACCCTCGCACAAGAAACAGGATCCTTGTCTGCGTGCTCTGGGGTTGTTGTGCCACCTAGACTAAACGGTGATAGTTTGACTGGTATTGTAGAGGCCAATACGGAGCCTTCTGATTATATACGTGGCTTGGATGGTAAAGCAAGGAGCATTTCCTTAGGTCGAATGGGTCCCTGTGCAGAGGATGCAGTTACAGTTGCTTCTGCAACTCCAGTCTCTCGAGCGCGCACAAGATCCAAGACAAGGAGTCGATCTTTTGGTCTTAATGCTATGGCACCTGAGTCAGTATCTAGGCCAGTACAGATTTCTCGTCGTGGGTCTACAGATGGATCTTTGGACAATGAAGTGGATGGGACTAAGACAAGAGGGTGGCTTTTAGATGAAGAGGATAAGTGGGAGAGCCGTAGTGGAACGTATTTGGGGATCATCATGTGCAATCATGAGTGCAAGACCGTCCAGTGCATGAAGACTCAATCGTTAGCTCCTCGTGCTGAGCATGATGATGGGCTGGTTCATTTGCTTTTAGTTCGAGATGTTGGCCGTTTGCAGCTGATTCGTTTCTTCCTACTGATGCAGTTTGGACGCCACCTTTCTCTTCCGTTCGTAGAGTACACTAAGGTGGGGTTGCTCGTCCTTACCAATGAAGACTTTGTTACTTGCTCAAGTTGTACCACGTTTCACTTCCTAGAATGCTTCATGAAGGTAGGTGTTAATGTTATGGAATTAATTTGGTCGGTTACTTCAGATAGTTCTATTTATGACTGACTTTGTTGTTGCACACAGGCTCGGGCAGTTTGGCTAAAACCAGCTCCAAGAGCCCATCAAGGATGCGGCATTGATGGTGAGCTGCTTACTCTGGATGGACCGATCACAACACGAATGCAACCTTTCCAATGTCACTTAATTGGGAAGCAGCAACGGACCTAGGTAATGGATTGAAGCAAGTGCTGCGTTCAAGAGGTTGCATGATTTGTTTTCTTGTGTGGAGATCGAATGCATTGGTATGGATGTAGAAGGAGGGGTAACGGAGAAGAAACCCTTTGCATGTTCTCTATATGGTTTCTAGAGTTAAATCAGAATTTGGTCTTGTTAGGCAGAATATTTTTTTCGTCATAACATGTTCTGAGAGTTTGAAGAATTTCGTGAGATGTTGGGATTGGTACAGGTAGTGGTGACGACAGATCACTGACTTGAAATGCTTCTAGTAGATATTTGAGTTGAATTATGTATTTCCTTGACAGTCATTCTTTCGATATTTTTATATACAAAATAAGGCACTCCCAACGGACAGACCCACCTTTATCAGCTCAAGGCTCGATCTTATCATTCAGTTCGGTGGCATAGTTTTGGCTCTTTATTAACTGATTCCCTTGAAAATAATTTTTCGTTGAGCAATTTCGACGCTGGATAGGGTTTGCGACTTTTGAATAAAAAATTTGCATTTCAAATATTTAGTTCACAGTAAGGTGCTACCAGTTCAAGTGTTGTTCATTATGGTAAACATTTTCCAAGCATGTGGGTTAGATACCTCTCCATGAAGTAAATAGAAACAGTCCGTCGTATGCACTCAGGATAGACTTCGCATGTACACATTTCTACTGGTGCCAAAGCCGGACAAAATTCCGTGTACTTACATACATGTATATAGCTATCCAATCGGACATGAAAATTTAATATGAGCACAATTTGGAATTATAAATATGTGCAGTATATTGGTTTACTCGTATACAAAACCCACATACATGAGTTTTAAATTGCTGAAGCATTTACGGGCTCAATGTTTTATATAAATGTTACCCAGTCAAAGGCAACACCCAGAAAAATACCTCACCATGGAATTGGGAATACCATCCTCATTTCCACATTTTGCAGCCAATGCCTATCAAAAGGTATTAAAATCCATGCATAGCAGTTTTCAATAAAACTGCCTGATTCTACATACAAATGCTACGGTGTCCGAAAATAGAAAATGAAAAAGGATTCTTTTGCTAAAAGGTACAGAGGTAACAAATTGGGATAACCATAAGGCTTCATTTACAAGCTTTCCATGCTTATCGCAATCCAAGCCTCAGCAATGACCTATTTACATACGCATAGTACACGTCACATACAAAGGTGAGAGAAACTTAAGCATAAGGGTTCAGCAAGCCATCCATCCCGACAGCTTCGGTTGAGTCGTGAGATTCCATAAGCATCCACTCTTCCACAGGACCCTGCACAAGTGATGTAAACAAACACATCAAAACCACAGCAAAGATAAGTTCTACACATTGCACCAAGAGTCATTGTACAGCATCCGATAACTAGAACATTTCAAGCTGTGCATCAACAGAAGCAATAAAAAGCGGCAGTTTCGAGAACCACTTCGACGGTAGTTCGACATTGCTTTTGCCTTCAGATAATGCACTCTACAAATAGTTAGCCATTTTCCAGCAAATTCTTGCAAGGTTAAAGAATAGGCTGATTTGGTAATTCATATCATATGGCTACACAAGGGAAGAAGTACCCACTTTTCCACGTCTCAAGATAATAGGTTTTTCACCCGTCATGTCTATTACTGTTGATGGATAAGCAAGACGTTCGCCTCCATCTATGACAAAGTCGACGCCCTGAAGATGGCATCAACATACATGCACATCAATTATCTACTGTCTTAAAACTCAGCAGTCAATGACACCACTTCCATCTTCGTCATTGTGTTTCAGCGAAGAGACATATCAACACACAACCCAGGGACGAAAGACCAATGACGTAAAAAAAAAAAAAAAAAAAAAAAAAAAAGAGAGAGAGAGAGAAAGAAGAATCACACAGATGGACACAAAACTGAAGCATACCTCCCTGCCTTCAGAGGCACCATAGGTATCAGCGATAATAACTGGGTCTAGCATCCACTCATCCTCTGACCGCTGTCTCACACTGCACATTACAGCTTTAGTTAATTGCAAGACCACCCCTTTCATCCATCGAAAATCTTCAAATAATTGCAAGGTATCGACTCTTGAGTGGTGGAGGGAGAAATTCTATCTCCTAAAGGACGCATACTTGCGTCTCTCAATTTTTGGTAAAAATTTCAAATTAGATAGATCAACAAACTGAGATGCAGACTGAGGCTTCAATAACAAATAAAAGGTTTCCACCTGGTACATAGCAAGGGCTCATCCAGTCGTTTGAGTAGTTCTGCACAAATAACATCATCCGGCATTCGGACACCAACACTTTTACGTGGTGCACAGCTTACTGCAGAACTTCCACCAAACGTTGTGCACTGTTTGGGCATCTCCTTACTCGCAGGAAGAATAAATGTATACTTCACACAACAAGCGACAATAAGCAGCGAGGAAAGTAGGAAGAGTAGAACAAGCAATGTTTCTTACATCACGAAAAACCTATGGCTCCGAGTTGCGTCTCACATCCAATGTAGATCCATCAATAATACTGCAAAGCTACTGTATCTAAGGTGTTCGGGGTACATACAGGTCCGGGGAGGGACTGTCGAGCAGCTCGGAAGACGTTTGTTTGGCCATGGCTATTGCCTCGTGGAAACCCCAATGTGTATTTGTCAATGTCTTGGAATGACCTACATAGAATACTCAATGGCTGCAATAAACTCCAAGACATACAAGTCAGTACAAAATCGGCACATATTAGTGTGTACGTTTTCTACAGCTTCGTAAAAAGGCTAACAGCGAATTCTTTTCAAAGCCTTGGTTCATTTGCATGATCTCTACGTGTTCAAAAACCAACGATAAACTCTGGAGCAAGGTTATGTTTGACTACTGTCCAGCAGCACGCGATAATTGACTTCGAAAGAGCCGAGATAGCTCAATTGCATACCTTCATGGGGTCCATGTTCTTAATTCTGCACAACAATGTGGGATGTCAAACGAAATACCACGCACAACCAAAACATATCATATTTCCAGATAGCTTCGCAACCAGCATTGACAGATAACAGGTACAAGCTTGGGGAATAAACAGACATGTGTGCACCTGTATAGACGGTCAATGGCTTGCCGATTCTTGAGATCACAAACAATCGCGTATCTGAAACACAGCCAAGATTGAGGTTCATGTCAAAAGCAATGCAATTGGTGGAGATGTCAAAATTCGTAAATGAGTCGGACAGGTACTTAGTTCACAGCTCTCTTCATGGGCTTGTCCACCGCCCGAGGTGCATAAAGACAATGATCTAGGTTATTCGTTTCAGCTATAAGGAAAAGCTGAAAAAGCTAAGCAGAAGGGTAAAGGCAATGTACACGGTATCAGTGGGGATGATTCCCACAGCCCCGGACTTTATGAGTTCGACAAGAGGATCCAAGCGCCAGACATCAGAGCCAGATGGATCGAGTTGTACCAATTGGACCTGGGAATTCTGTGAAACCAACGATCAAACAAGGAACAGATTTAGTGACGTGCAACATTGGAGATAGGATGGCGCATGATAGGAATAAGGAACACGGGGGGTACCTTGCGTGAGGCAGGAGAAGAGTACTTGAGGCGCTTGGGACTACGCTTGGCGACAGCTTGTACAGTGACAAGTAGACGCGGAGGTGCGGGATGAAGGGAGGGACAGCGCACGTAAGCCATGGCGATAAGACGATGACTAACTACTTCGGACTTATTTATTTAGCTGTAGACAACAACACGATTGAAGATTAACATTCATGAGCTAGGGGAAATCTGCACATTACTACTAGCAACGCCTAAATAAAGCAACGGAAGCACGTCCCACATACACATGCTGAGCGGAGGTTTCGTAGACTGATCGTGCTTAACTAATACAAGGACAATACTGTAAAGACTTGACTCGAATATCTAGTCACTCATGCTGATGGTTCATAACTCTACTCTTCAGCGATTTCAGGTCTACGATCAACAACAAGGATTAGGAATCAGCACTTGCTCTCACCCTTGAACTAGGTTTAGTATTTCCAAGCATTAATTAAAATGAATAAGCTGAACAAGCGCTGACATTAACTCTTTCACTTAGTATGTGTACGCTACTTATGACGAAACAGTTCTCATCGAGACTATAAAACGTAATGTTGCGGCTTTGCTGTGTGTCATGTACATCTTACCAACTATGACTCCAACATTACTTTTCGGAACCGGCAATGGCGGGTTGAGCCAAAATAAATACTTGATTAGTAATCGTAATTGATTCTAAGACGCTCCCCTGCACTATCCATGGGTAATGATAACCCCCTGCTCGAAAGCCATGTTACTCTACTGTATACTCAAAAAGCGTCTTGACCCAGTCCATATCATCTCACAAACAAGGTACCCTTGCATTGTTTCCAACCCACCTCTGTCCGTACGCAATCTGTAAAGCCAATGGTTGGAGAGACCTGACGATTTACACAGCAAACAAAGCTGTCGACCACGTCCATCACATACCGAGCATTTCCGCAATGGGACCCCTGTGAAGACGCCGCCTACACACCCGTATACAGTATCTTCAGATACAACCCCAAGAAATAAAAGAATTATCCGCATATCAAATCAATGATGCGATTACGTATTGTGGAATACGTAATTTTCAAATTGCAGGATGCTATTTTGATTAACGCATACAATGTAACAACTCAATCGAAGACAATAAATAAATAAATAAATAAATAAAATCTCACCTTGTTTACCACGACCCTTACAGTGGCAACAAAGCTTCCACATGCACACAATGCAACTCAGTTAGGAGCAAAGAAGACCTGATCCCTCTACGATGCTCTCATAATTACGATAATGCCTTGAACTCAGCCATGTACGAAAGCCTCGTACGATGTCAAGATGAAACGCAGCATCTGACGAATTCTCCTCAGGAAACAATGCAAATCTACGACTACCTTACAGCCAATACCATTGACACACAATCCGAGAGAGCTTAACAATCGCAGTAAGGATATCCACGGGAAGACTGAGACATACATTATTCCCTACACCAAGGCACTGCGGGCATTTGCGCGGTTTCTGCAAACGAAGCAAAGCAATTGGTAAGTCGTGCAGAATTGGTGGGTTGTGGCAGAACTGGCACGATGCACAAAGACAAGGATTCGATAACTAGAGAGGAACTGACCACGAAGCGAATCGCGGTCTTGGTAAGCGGACGAAAGGAGAGAGGAGACAGCAGCACAACGACACACAACACAGCACCCACAAACGGAGGCCCGAAAGCGTGAGTTGGAGGCATGGAGAGGAGGGTGCGCCTCAGGAGACGCCACAGCTCAATTCGAAACCACTCGCCCACATGTCCAGCGTCAAACTTACGATACGTGTGCGTGAGAAAGAGCTAGAAAAGGCAAAATATCACACGGAGCAGTAGTACAAAGGGAGGGTGTAGAAGCTGCGACGCATAACACAAATTCCAGGCGAGCTGAAATTGTGCCGCTGACACTTGAGTGGCCAGGGTTTCCGCTTGGACAGGAAGGCTAGGGAGGGTAGGGAGGGGGAGGGGGGGGATCACAGAGGAAGATTATTGATTGGATTCTTATCACAATCTTGCCCTCCCTCGCTCCCTCTCTCCCATTAGCAACAATCGCAACCCTTCATGCACACACGGAAGCCTGTGAACTAACGCGGCCGCCATCTGGTGACATTTCCCGCTGCGGTGAAATCAGGCCAATCCGATTTGAATGCAGTGGAGGAAGGAAGCGAAAGGAAAGGAAAGGAAAGGAAAAGGACATGGATCATTGCCCCCACTATTCAGCAGCCTGCCCCCGTTGCCATTCCCGATGCGATCCGGCTCCACCATTCTGTTCATTCATATTCATCCTCGTTGTGGATGGTTTTTGTCATCCATCTTGCTTCCGTTCGGTCTTGAATTTGCCACGACATGTGCGGTCTCGGGAATAGGATATCTTTCCACGGAAATGCCACCTCTTCTTTCTCGGTTTGAACCTTGTTTTCCAAAATCTTTGAGCTTGGCACCAAGGTGACCCATTGCTCATTTCCATTGCATTGGCTGAACTTGTGTCTTCTTTTGACATAGAAGCACATGGGAAGACATATAGTTTCAACAAGGGAGAAATAAATTTTTATTAATATTTTTTTTTGATGTCATTTATTTTTTATAAAAGTAAAAACTAAGGCAACATTTTGTAGAAGTGCTAGCTTTTGTAAAGATAGGAAAAGTAACATTACAAATGAAGTTTTTAATTAATTTTTGAAAAGTAAAATATTAATTAGTGCAGAAAAACAAGATTGGTATAAATTATATAGGATTTTTTGCAATCATGTGGTTGTTGTTTAAGTGTCAAATTTACTTCAACTTAATGACTAGTTATCAATAGAATTAAAGTTAATAATAAAATCTGATGAAAGAGAATACAAATTTAAAAAATAATTTTAAAAATTTCATAGTTTAGTATGGTATCTATGATACTTTTTAAATTTTTATAGTTACCATTGTACTTATAAACAAAAATCTATGCCTAAGATGACTCTTCTCCTAAAAAACGAATTCACTGTGACAAAATAGATCATATAATAAATATTTTCTGGTCTTTTCATAACTCAATATGTAATTTCATTTTTACAAAAAAATAGTTCCAAGTAGATGTTGACCCTTTTAAAGTTGGTGCATTAGTCACTACAATAATTGATAAAAAAATCAATATTTTATGATAAATGTTAGTGACATGCACCTCTATCTCAGATTTTATTATCATTTAGAAAACAAACACAACTTTAAAAGAATGTCTGAAATTTATCACATCTTGGTATGATTAAAAGTGCATTAATTTAGAAATATTATTCACAATTGAATCAGCTTATGATACTTAATAATGTCTTATGAAAGTTTTAAAAATAAAATATAGTATTGATTTAAATTAGTAAGGTGTTATAACTCCTCTTCCAATGCTAAATAAGAACATAAACATGAATTCTTTGTAACATAATAAAATATTTAATAATATATAACTAGTAGATATTACATGATTATTATATTAAAAAAGTGAGAATAATATCTAGTTTGGCTGCAAAAAAATGAAAGATGTTTTGATATTGTATATTAGATTTTTTCCACATTTGTATGGTAAAATGGAATACATTAAATATATCCATATATATATATATATAGAAAATATGATAGAAATGGTAATTTCTAAGGAGTTTTATAAAATTTAAATTTGGCATTTATTTTAAGGGAAAATATCATACATACCCTTGAAATATGTTTTAATATCGAGAATATTCCTGTGTTCTTGATAAGAGCAAATCTATCCTTTATTTTTGTAATAATATCAAAACTACCCTTCAACTTGATAAGCTATCACAAAAAGTCTTTTTTTAAGTGAAATTAGGCCCAATCTGCTTGATCCATCTCATTTACTTATTCAGTTGTTCTTACTTCATGGCCTACAATTTAAGGTCATGTAAGTTTTTTTGATCATTCGAATTAAATTTCTGATCATTCTTTCATTTTTTAATTGATTTATCTTTTAAATATCTATTTTTGTTTTCTGTTATGCCTCTTCAGATTTGTAGCTATTATGAGATGTTGGTTTGTACCACAACAAAGAAAGTAAATGTAAAAAATAAAATAAAATTTTTTGGAGGAAGAAAAAGACAAAGAGAATATGCATGAGCACACACACACACACACATATATATAATAAATAAATAAATAAATAAATTTACAATATATATATTACATAAATAATGATTAAAATATAAATATTTAATTAATAGATAAATATATAAATAATACTTATTTATTTCTGATTAAAATTTTTAATGCTTTTGATAATATGGATTAGATTGTTCTAAGAAAAAGACATACCTTAATACTTGTATCTAAAATGATTATTAAGTAATTACAATATTTTTTAAAAAAGAAATGATTTATTTTTTATTATTTTTATTGTGGGTCTAGTAAGTAAATATGATCTCTGGACGATTGAATTTTTTAATAAAAAATATAGACATGTATATATTCAAGGAAAAAAGTAATAATGTTCATTAATTTTAAGAAATTAATATCATTGATTGCAATGGTATTATTGAATATGAACTCTGATGGACACGTGTGTGAATAGGACCCTGTTGGACATGTGTGTGAATAGGATACTGATGGACATGTGTGTGAATTCTATCTCAGCAGAGTGCATTCTAACTCAGCTTGTGATTAGGGTTGCTTTCTTCTGTTTGTGCTTTCTCTGTCTCCGGCCTAGTTTGCATCACTCTCCCTCTCTCGCTTGCTCTCCTTGCTTAATCCATGGCGTCCTCCGACGATGAGCCTGAAAATCCAATGCCCGTCCCGTCTAACGATTCCCCTGACTCCGGCTCCGAGTCTGATTCCGACCTCGATGACGATGAGGATGATCAGGCCACTGCCTTGCTGCTGCAGCGCCTCCAGGCCCAAGTGAACGAGTCCAATTCCTACGAGGCTCATGTTAATGTACCAATTCTTTCCTTCTCTCGGATTGCTTCCTTCCAATTATACTGTCACTCACGGCTCTCGTTACGCGGTCCAACTGAACGGCAGTGGCGCACTTCTCGCTATTGAATCATGCTCATGGATTTCATTTCCTCTTGATTACCTTGCACAGTTTCCATGCTACATTCTCAGCTGGTACTTCTTTGATCCTTGTGCACAGCCGGTTGTAAACATTGGCGTGAACGTTTAGAAATGTTTAGCTCCTGTCTCTATGCCTTGCCAGTGCTCTGGACATTGTTAGGCTGCAATATCTCCAGCCGTGTGCTTCGATCACGCATATTACAGGTAATTGCACATGTAGTCGATGGGCTCGATCAATGCAGTCTGAAACATTTCTTATCAGGAATAGATTGAAGTACGTCTTGACTGACTGAATCAACGCAGTGATAAATTCTTGGATATTTCTTGTTGCTTGAAGAACTGTAGCTCCTCTTCGATAATCTAAGAATTGGTGTGTTCAGATGCCTCATAGTGTCACAAGAACTTTGAAGTTTTTCTCAAAATCTCTTAGCGGAGCTAAATTCAGCTACTATTGATTAGACATCATGCCGTTTTCTCAATCAAGGGTTCAGAAATCTCGCATAGATTTGTTTCACTTGTGTACTTTGAAGTATATATTCAGGATACTGTACCAGGCTGTTTACTTCTTTTTTTTGAATACAATTACGCACACACATACATTGATATGTACGCAGCATATATATACTGTTGGAATAGTCCAAGTTGACGTGTAGGGTTGGAAATATTTTGGCGTTCAATACATGCTGTAATGCCACCCTCATTTCTCACTGTTGGTCGTTCAAGTAAATCCTCAGAATTGTATGTAGAGATCGCGTCCTTTCCGCGCAATATAAGTGTGGATGCTTTAAAAGGTTGTGGTTTCCTAACGTTGAGCCCCTTCAGTCGTTATCCTAACATTCTGGTCCATTATTTAGCGTAAATGTTGACCTTCACAACAATTTGATGCTTGAATTAAACCTGATAACATGGATTTGAGCGTCTTGGAGTGTGAAACATTTTTGCAAGTTCGATCTATCACCACTTGAAATCAGACTTGAATCATTTAGATTACTTGCTTTTGTATGTTTTAATAGCAGTTCTTGGGTGCAGTACATTGACGCACTTCGAAAGGCGGCAGAATTGGAGAAGCTTCGGCTAGCAAGGGAATCTATGAATGCGGTCTTTCCTTTAACTCCTAACATGTGGTTAGAATGGTGTGAAGACGAGTCACGTTTAGCAACCAGGTATTTGAAAATTCATCAATTTGTAATTACCGCAACCAACATCATCCTATTGTAATCTTTATTTAGTTTCCCACTATGAAGTAAGAATTCAATTCACCTAGTAATAAGTTGCCATTAAACTAAAATTTGTCGGTTTTATCTCGATAGATTACTTGCCGGTACGGATTTATCACTATCTTTAGTAGGTGGTGGATGATTACTCCCGTAATTATGTGCTAAGTAATGGGATAATAACATCAATCCTTTGCTGACCAACAATTCAATTTTCTTGGGATTGAAATTTTTTCGTTTTATTATTTTGTGGCCACCCAGTTTGGTACTGGAAATTTGGCGCATTTGATTATGTTATCTATATAATCATATTTCTGTGTCATATTTCTTGAATTGTGACTTATTGTTTTATTAAATCCTTCTAGCCGTGGAGCAGTTCCAGCAGTAGAGGCTTTGTACGAGCGCGGTGTCAAAGAGTATTTAGTAGGTTCATCGAACCCTGCATTTAATTTTGTTTCCAGATGGCATTGTTATTTAAGATGGTTATCATCATCTTCAATTATAATTCAAATAAATAGCTTTGGATTTCGACACTTGGTTACCGCTGCATGTTTCTGCTATTAAATTAGTATTGGAACGTAGATGTTAATCATTACGTTTTTTGTATACGTGATTGCTGTTTTTTGTTCCAGTCTATTCCCCTGTGGCTACAATATCTCGAGTTTGTGGAAGAACGGGACACGTCTGTTGCTGACTGCACTGAACCTGGGATAGCTAAAATGAGGGCACTCTTTGAACGGGCGCTGACTTCAACTGGGTTGCATTTCACCGAAGGAGGAAAGGTTTGGGAGGCTTATCGTGATTATGAATCAGCTCTCCTGCTTAGTATGGCCGAAGCAAGTCCTGAGGTGCTGCAAGATCTATTCCTATTGCGCACGACATTCTTAATTTTGAAGCATGTTGATCTCAACTGCAGAGTCATAGGTCTTTTTTATATTTTTATATTTTATATTTTTATATTTTTAATGTTGGGGAGTAAAGTGGCCCGTACTGCATACTGTGTGAAATATGTACACGATGGCCGCTTGCTTTGTAGTTCAATGACTCATGTCTGTTCTCTTTTCTGTTATTTTGATTATTTTTCACGCGACCTTGCCAGGCAAAAAGCAAGCAGGTTGAGATCTTAAGAAGCTTGTTTCATCGTCAGTTGCGAGTTCCTTTAGTAGATCATGCCCAGACTCTGGAGCAATACAAGGACTGGGAGCAACAGCAAGGTGTCCAAATTGGGGCTGACAATGATGATCTCTCTGGCCTTCCTGGAGGTGTGGCATCTGCATACAAGACGGCAGAGCAGATGAGCAAGGCACGAGGATTGTTTGAAAATAACATAACGGCTGAGAAGCCTGTTGATGGTGACTTGCTTCAGCATTACTTGGTATTTCATTTTTTTAATTCCCTGTGCTCTTTATTTCTGTTGAGACGCTTCCATCTTATGTTTACAATCTTTTTTCAGTTTTAGCTGTTTAGGGCAACGCTTTCCACATATTCTGCAGCACGATGAAGCTGTGTGGTAGTCTCAGTTTGCAGTTTTATACATCCACATTACCTACTTCCACTGAACAGAACTTTTTATTTATTAATGAAATGCATTAGTCCACAAACCGAAGAAAACAGGAGTTACCTCATAGTGATAGACAGCTGGGGTGCGTAATGACGTGTAGGATCTTGGCTGATAATATGAACACTAGTCCACCTCTTAGTGATGCTCTGATTTTTCCGAATTTTGTCGAAATTCGGTGTCTTTGAGAAGACTTCAAAAAAATTCTCTTAGGTAGATTTCGTTAGAGGGCGGGTTCTTGCTTCTGATAATGCTTCAAATGTTCAGATGCAAGGTGAGATGTGTACGCATAGAAACCTTCTTTTAAGGTGTTATCAGCTCATGTTAGGCACTTTCGGTATTGATTTACATATTTCCTCTGTGATCAGGAATACATCAGCGTTGAGGAGGCAACAGGTGATCCAGCTCGCGCTCAGATACTGTACGAGCGTGCTTTATCTGTCTTCCCTGTTACTCATGAAGTTTGGCTCAAATATACTCATTATCTTGACGTCAACCTCAAGGTAACTTTCAATGATGTGGAGTGATTGTTCTATTAGGAGCGTGACATGAAGTGAGTTTTACTGCATAGTGACCTTTCATCCTTTTATTTGCTTGAATCAATGAACGTAGTGAGAACAAGCCTGTATTGTCAAGTAGAGCCGTAAACTTGTTATAGTTTGTTCCAGCTTATTATGTTGTTTGATATTTCTCATGATTAATGTATTGTGCTGATTGTAGGTAGCATCTGTATTAAGGAGTGTGTATGCTCGAGCTGTGCGGAATTGTCCTTGGGTTGGTGCTTTGTGGACCAAATATATGCTAGCTCTTGAACGAGCAGCTGCTCCAGAAACAGAACTATCAGTAGTAAGAATCATGATCAGTTTGTTTATGAATAAAAGTGTTTTCATGTCGCTCAAATACTGAGATGGATAGATAACAGTGATTGCCGTATTTTCTGTCATGTTCACGGTAGATTCCCTTATGGTCACGAGTGTCATTTATTTATTTATTTCCATGAGTTTGATTTTCTTTTAATGCAATGTTTGAAATATGGATTTGAACTACATGTTCTTGAAAAAATCTAACGAATTCAGTGGTCTAGGTGCATTCAATTGTCGACTATGACAATGTGTAGATCATGCCAGCGAAGATATTTACATGCTCCAGCTACTTGGTTGTTCAAATTCTTGCTGTTAATTACTACGGTCGTTGCTGCAGGTATTTGAAACTGCACTAGGGTGTGGATTTCAGTCACCAAATGAGGTGGGGCTCCTACTCATTATGATTATCGAAGACGATGCTATCATATGATCATCTGTGCCTGTTGTCCTTCTAAATGTGGATTTCTACTTTGGGACGACTGTGTACTGATGTTATTTTTTTCTTTTTTCTTTTTTCTTTTCTTTAATGGGCAATTTTTTATTTTATGGATTACTTATAAAGATCCTGTTTCACTGACTACATTGAGAACAGTATGAGGAGGTATACTCTACGAGGGCTCATGGGCTAAGGCGACGGATTATGGCAGCAGATGCAAATTCTGATCAGACTTCCAATTTTACACTTTTGCATGATACATTTGAGGTAATTTCTTTGGTGGTCTGACCTTTTATTTGTATTTATGATGTTCCTTTAATTATCTGTATTGCAGTTTGGCAATCGTTGGCGACCAGTTGTGCTGGTATTTATACAGCCGTATCAAGTATGTCATTATTTCTTTTGACTAATAGTTCTCTTTCATTCGTGATGGCAAATTGATCTTTTCAGGTTGTACATTTTGTACAAGTTCATTGCAATCATCAATAATGCTCATCTGCAGTCTGTTTTTGCAGCGTGGAACGGAATTTTTGTCTACTTACTTCCCGGATCATGTAAATCATAACATAAGACTGTGGACCTATTGGGCTCATTTGGAAGCTACATTGCTAAAGGACATAACAGCAGCTCGTGGTGTTTGGGAGAACCTGATAAAGACTCAGTGAGTTACTACTATAATTTTCAATGTCCTTTTCTTATGTGATTGTCTTAATGTCTTTACTTCTCATAATCTGTTGTATTATATAATGTTTTAATCCTGCACTTTTGCCTCTTATGGTTCTTAAGTGTGCTGCTACTGGTACAATATACTTGGTTTGGCCAGTAAAGATACTGATTATTTTGGTTATAGTGGTTGGATGTTAGAGGTGTGGCAAAATTACATTTCCATGGAGCTGCTCCTTGGGAATGTGAAGGAGGCAAGAACTTTATATAAGCGCTGCTACAGCCGCAGGCTAGAGGGTACTGGAACACAGGTACTTAGAAGCTTATATGTTGATAAGGAATACGGTAGTTTGCTCACTTTCTAATATGCGTAGGTATTGTAAGTGATTTATCTTTCTGAATTTAGTGTATATTTCATAGGTTTTTTTTTCATCACTTTATTTTCTGCATCATTGCAGCGTATCTATTGTTCGTTGTTTGCTTATCTAGCTTTTCGAGATCTATAAGAAACCCATAGCGCTATGTATTGTTACTTATTTCAACCGTTTTTTTCATTCCTTTCTTAGGTCATGTGTGCTGCATGGTTGCGCTTCGAAGAAGAACATGGTGCTCTGGAAGACTATGACCGGGCTGTGTTGAAGGTGGGCTTCAAACTGTGCTTTCTATTGTTGTAAGAAATTCACAATCTAACTGCTTATTCAATAGATCAGGAACTAGTCATCTTTAGCATATCCCCCAAGAATTAAGTGCAGGCATTGTGCATAATATTGCTTGTTCAAAGTGTACTCTGTTTTACAAGAATAATTAGAGATATTCAGTGATCGGACTGGAACTGCATGGTCATCCGCATTCAGTAAATATTTTGAGGTTAAGATATTGTATTATTTTGGTCAAATCAGGTTGGCCCTAGGGTTGCGGAGGTTCAGAATTTGCAGACCCAACAGGAGCAAAAGCAGTCAACAGGAACAGAAAGAGTGAAGATGGAATCCAGGCCTCAGCCGTCGGATAAAGTTAAACCTAAAAGTGATGTCAAAAGCAGATCATCCAAGATAACTGACAACGCATCTAAAACGAGCGGCAGAAAAAGAGGACTTGGAAACGCAGAATCAGAGAACGCCGTGAAACGTCAGAAAGTTCCCAAGGTTACTGCTCAAGACACCGATCAACCAGGGGCTTCAGAAACAGCAGCTGGCATAGTTACAGGAATGGAAGAAGCAGGTGTCCATTCAAGCACCTTCTCCTTGTTTTCATATATAAAAGTGACTGATAAAGTTACGCGAACGAGAGTCCTGTTCCTACGCTCTTATTTACGTGTGCGAGCTATGCTCCTCATCCGAGTTATACCGTACGTCGTGTTATTTCTACGACTGTAATCTGTGTTTGCTCTATTCTTGATAAACTGCAAGCTTATTGCTGGGGTGAAATTTTACCTCCCGCAGAGCGAACGGAGCAAAAGTCGGAAAATGCATCAAGAGAACTTCCAAAACAAGTGAAGGAGTTGAACAAGGCAGTTGTTTTCACGGACGAGTGTACTGCATTTTTGTCTAATGTAGCATTTGAAGTATGTGGTGGCAATCCTTCTCAATCCGTTATTAACATCTACAAATGAGAGTGAAAGATTGACATTTCTGAATCTTGTGCAATAACTATTGATGCCAAATTTTTTAGTTTATATTAACTCCCATTGATTTTGAATCGAGATGAATTTAGCTCTGTACTGTATATTCATGATGAAATTTAAGCGTGAATGACTTAGGACTACAAATCCCAAAGTGGCATTCTAAATTTTCAATGAGATAATGCAGGTGACTGAGGAGGATCTTAAGGAATTCTTTTCTCCCTCTTCTCGAGTCAAAGAAGTTCGTATACTGCGGGAACGTGGCACTGCAAGACCTCGAGTAAGTCTCCTCCAAATAAGACTTTCCAATTCCAGGTTTTATTCACAAATACATCATGCAAAGCGCTTAAAAATTGATCTGGTAACTAAGGGTGCTTAAGACTTACAAGTTTGGTTTTTTCCTATCTTATTCATTATATTCAGGTTTTTGTGTATGTGAACAGGGGCTTGCGTATGTCGATTTTGAAGACGAAGAGTCTCTAACTGCAGCTATAGCCAAAAATAAAGAGGAACTCAAAGGGCGACAACTGAGCATTGCTCGTTCAGATCCCAAAGGAGGTCGTGGTGGAGGTCGAGGCTCTGGATCCAGTCGCCGTGGAAGAACAAGTGCCCTCGGGCGCGGTGAGAAATTTTGACCTTTTGATAGAAACCCTGATGTCTGAAACCCTTGCTACGCACCCCTCGAAACAACTTTTAAACTTATCATTGACCTTGTTCGTTCAGGTGGGGGTCGTGGAGGCATAGGAGGAAGTGATTCAAGCAACGCCCTTGGAGGTATGTTTCTCACTCCTCACGTCCTTGTAGAAAAATAAGTCTTCGCTGTAGAATTATACCTACGATAATATCGAGTTGAAACTTTTGAAGCCTCAGTGCAAACGCCTACTTACCAGGTCTTGTATTTTGGCGTAACCATCTCATGATGGACCAAGGTTTTGGTTCGGTTCTTTTGTCTGGATATTACTCCTCTAGGTATGATGTTCAAAACTTTGCCTTGGGTTAAACTTGGAGTTAACAATCATCGCATTTACGGTGGCACTCAGGTGGTCGAGGTTTGGCTGGACCTCCAACAGTCGGACATCGTCGTGGTGGTCATCTGAAACTTACAGGTTCCAACACGTTTGCTGTGCCACGAAATGTACCTCGACCTTTAGGTTGGGGCAATCCCCTAGCCACTAGTTCCTCGAATGCCAGTGGAGGTGAAGTGCCCAAGTCGAATACAGAATTTCGAGAAATGTTTCTGAAGCAAAGCTGAGTTTGGAAGTGTAATATGCTCTTTCATAGTTTCAAAGTAGATCTAAGATGGGTTTCTTGAAACCTGGTCTGTAATTTCGCACTAAGGGTGTAGCTCAAAGCGCCCATTCACTTTAATGATCAATTTTGTGGAAAATGTGTAATTTTGGCGAAGCTTTGTTGGTGGTGTCTTGAGAGATCGACAGTTCCCGGGATCCTTGGCTTAGATGATGTTATTATACGTGTTAAATATTCATCTAGGAAAAGAGAAATTTAGAACGATTCGACTTGAGCCTCTAGCTTTAGATCTTCATGCCAAGACTGGGGATCAAAAAAATCAGCCATAGGAAGCCAGGTTGGTGGGGGGGTTCTGCAGTGGTTGCAACCTTGAAATATCCTCATCTCAATGCCAAAAAAAGCGTTCTCTAATCCTTTCTGGCTCTCCTTTACAACTGCTGTAACTTTATCTGACCATACTGACCGTTTCTCATGCCCCAAGGGTGTTTCAGGGTAAAGTTACAACCCGAAAATCCAAGGGAGGAGGCAGCTTGTGTACACCAGAAAGCTCCCGATGCAGTCTTTAAGTAGAAGTATCTGTATTTAGAAGACTAATCTACAGAAAGCTGAAATTGGACATTATTACCAAGAAATCGGTAACCGGCTGAAATAATGATACAGGAAATGCTGCCTGAATCCTTGACTGTTGAGCTAAAAGAATAAGTACAAATAGTTTGAACTAAAGTTCATTTCTTTTCTTTTATATTCATACGTTCAGAGGAATATGGAAGTTCGTCAAGGACTGAGGCCAGTACAGAAAAACAAACACTATAAATGATTCGTCAAGCGGTCTTTTTGTATTGTTTTGTTTGTTATTTGTTTCGCTCTCTGCAGGCACCGCAGGATTATCAGCTTGAGACGAACTAAGACAACTTTTGTCCATAGCGGGAAGAAGGGGGGGGGGGGAGTACTTGCGGTCTATTTGTCTCGATAGGAATTCTTCCCCAGGGTTCTGGGACATTCTCTTCTCCCTACATGTAACCATAAATAAAACAAAAATGAAAAGCATTGGCCCTGTCGTTTATTTGTTTTGAACTAAATTATGGAATTTTTATTATCACAAACATATTTATAATTTTTATGAGTTTTTATATTTACATAGTAACTTCCAACTATTCTTATATAATTTATCATGAATTTTAGGTTTTCAGCATCCTCAAATGTATATATATATATATATATATATATATATGTGCACAATAGGTGTATCTTGACGAATAAAGTTCAACTGTAATCTATGTAATAACAGAATTGTGACTGTGTATGAGTACAACAATCCTTCTTTATTGTCTATGTATGTTTCTACATATATGTCACATTTACAAGATGCATCTTTGAAATTAGACTAATAGCAGGTAGAACTATTATATTTATAACACAAATAGATAATATCTCAATGGGTAATGCTTATTTGAATTTCTGTTCTTTAACTCAATTGGCTTCCCCAATAAAAGCATGAGATTTAAATGTTCATTTAAATTCAATTACAATTTATTGATTTAGGAATTCAAATCATATATTCTTGGACAATATTTTGGTTAATATTTTGATTTTGGCACTTTGTCTATATTTTGAAGATCAAATTCACATATTGAAAATTAAAATACTTTGGAAGAATTTTAAATAATCAAAACTACTATGTCTTTTGAACTATATCATTAAAAAAAATTAGTAATTTAAAAATTATAAACTAAGTCAACAATATTTATATTTAAAAAAATACTTATATTTAAAAAAAAAAACCCCATAGATTCAAATTATACATATTCTGTAGATTTAAATTATTTATGTAAATTAATAAATCAATGATATATGTTTAAATTACAAATTTAACTTACAGTAGGCATTTTTTAAAACTTTAAATTTCATCTATATAGTCCAATTTAAATGAGAATATTATACAAAGACAAATTGCATATGGTGTATTAATGTTATATTAGAAAAAAATAACTTATGCATAATCTTAGATCAAAACTTAACATCTACCAAAAATTGTAACTATGACAAACAGTATGATAGAGTACAAATGTTTTTTAATATTAAAGTTGTAGAAGGTTACTAATTCTTCAAAACTAATAAAATTGCCATAAGTTAAAATTATCTTAGTTTCTATATGGGACTACAAATAAGTATCTTGGAAACAATGCAACTATGGAATTATCGTTATAAATATATATACTTTTTAATCTCTCTTTATTTATATGATATTTCTTTCAACCATATAAGTAGAATTATAGGATTTTATTTGATACACAATATAATTCTTTTATACTTATTTGTTAGCTAGAATCTTTTACATATACTTTTGGAACTTTAAATAAGAATATCAAGAAACTAGATCTAATGACTTGGTTTACAAGTCTTGTTAGTATGTTTCTTCAAAAGCCTTCTTAATGGCTTAGATAACCAATGTTATTACGAAGCTTTTTATTATAACTCAGGTAGCTAAACACTGGAAGCTCAAACTAGAAGCTTCTAGCTTTACAAGTTGTATATGTGAAGTTGTTGATGAAATCTTTATTTTTCCCAATTTCTTTCTCAAGTCTTACTTTTCTTTTGGCTTACAATCTATTTTGTATCTTGACAACACTTATTTTCTTATTGTATTATACTAAAATCTTTTCTCTGTTTATATCTCTTATCCTTCTTTGATATAAACAATTAAGTATAAAATATAAATTTAAAAAATATTTGTAGAACTTTATATGTATTTGTAGATTGTTAAGATAGTTTATATAATACATAAATATTTTAATTGTTGATTTACAATGTTTATTTGTTTAATTCTAATACAAAAAGTATACTTAATTATTTAAAGTATTTAATGTGTAGACTTTTAATACAATCAATAATATTTTACCCAGAATTTTATTTGAAAATTCATTAAAAAATATCAATATAATTCATAAGCACATCTTTAATAATTGAAATCTATAATTTACAAAAAAATAAAAATAAAAAATAAAAAAAAAAAAATCTATATTTTTTCATATATGCAGATTTGTAGTAGCGAATATATTTATTTATTTTAAAAATATATTTTATTAATATGTACGAATCTTATTAAATATGTATTTGTGAAAAAATGGTTCATATGAAAAATAAAGAATAAAGTCAAAACTTAATATCTAATTTTATACTAAAATCACTTTTCAATTTTTAATATGGTCGAAGTATTATTGGTCAATTTTTCAGTTATTTATTCAAATTTGCTTAAATATGTGATCTTGATAAGTTGATCATTAATATCCGTTTTTTACAATTGTCATTGAGAAAATGTAGATATGTATATATATATATATATATATATATTTATTTCACAAGTAGTAGAACAGAAATAAATATTTAACAATACCCCTAAAATTTTTGTTAAATATTTATCCTCTATTCTGTACAGATCAAATTTCGCAGGTGTATGGTCCCAAATATGTTGTATGAATTTATTCATTTCCAGTTCTTATTTTGATTTGAAAATTACAGCAATGGTTGAATCATGGTTAATTATTTTGTACGGAAAATATCTAAATTAACTATGCAAACTACAATGTTTGTTACTGGAATAAATTTAATTTGTCAAGTATTATTTAAAAAAATTCAAAATATTGTGTTGCTTTCTTATTCATTATGAAGTTATGCATAAATTTTTTTATTGTGTTAAACTCCAGTTATTTTTAAAAGGTAAACATTTAGATATTAATGTGCATAGAAATAATACAGCACAAAAATACAGAAACACATAAGTAGTAGTGATTCTTACATTACTACACAATCTTTTGATCTGGAAACGATTTATAAAATGACACAAATTAAATCAAATATTAAATAATAAAAATCATAAAAACATTTGAACACCTTTTGTGGTGAAAGAACAAATACTGAAAAGCACCTTGGAATATACTAATTAATTTAATAATTTACATAGCAACAAAAAATAACTTGTTAACATGTAAAACTTGTGACTTAAAACATGTAACAACTTTCCCACTTGATTATATACTTGTTTGATTTAGCATGTTAACTTTGCAAACAACCAACAATGAAACTTCAGATGTTGATACCTATCACTGAAAGTTTTGAAGGAAAGGTACAATTTGAATAAGTATACATTTATTTATTTATTTGTGTGTGTGTGTGTGTGGGTGTATATATATATATATATATATAATTATTTTGGAGAGATAATCCAAGTTCATGTTTTATCAAGACAATATCAAGTTTTGAAGATGGTTTGAGACAGAGTTTGTGATGTTGATTGATTTTGATTTAATCACTATCAGTATTAATTAAAATTCTATATATAATGTCAGTTATATTCTTAGAAGAAAGTGGTACATTTCAAATTGAAGATTTGAAATGTTAGTTCATCAAATTTAAAAGCTCGATTTTCAAGAGCACTGGATACTACTATAAATTAAATATATGATTAGTTTGTTAATTTGAATTAAACAATATCGATAATTTAAGGAAACACTGAAATTCAATTTCATGGTTTTTGCAATGTATGAATCATTGTATTTTTTTTTATAAATATTCTATTCATTCATGGTTGCACTTCGTTTCATGAAAGGATTGCATGGCATCATTGTTGAAGGACTAACATTTACTTAACCATAATATATACTTTACTATTTTACATACTAATGGGTTTTTCCTTACACAAAAATTAATTTGTCTCAAAATAGAACTTATTTTATTCAAAAAAATCTTTTCAACCACTATTCACTTGGATTCAAAAGACTTTGAGAAATTTTAAGCCCAAGAACTATGAATAATAAAAAATAATAATACTAAATTAATACAAAGTTGAAATCTTAACATGAAACAGAAGCGGATTCAGATTTTATTTTTTTACGGTCTACATTATTTTATAACACGAAAATTTAAAAGCCAGAAAAGAAAAAAAAAAGTAAGAATTATAGTTATTGATATTTCTTTCACTCTTTCCTTTTAAAAAACAAATACAGTAAAATACCAAAAGGTACAGGTAAAGAAGAAAGATAAGCAGGGTGACATCAATAGTATCAGCATGCTTTTCTAATTGATGAACATTCCACCATTGTTGATCTTTTTAAGCTTAATATGAAATGAATCAAAACAACAAAGATTTGTTGGAACAT